GTCCTTGTGCGCCGCCATATGCATCGCTGAGTATCCGGAGTGTCCTTGAGTGGCTGCTGGATCTGCTCCATGGGCGATGAGGTATCGAACAGTCTCGTCGTGTCCTGTGGCTGCTGCTGCTAGTAAAGGTGTGTTTCCGTTGCGGCTGGGCAGGTTGGGGTCTGCACCGCTATCTAGCAGAACAGCAGTGATAGCTGTGCAGCGAGAGTTGATGGCCATTGTGAGGGGAGTGTGCTCGCGGAGTACGCGATCAACGTTTGCTCCTCGAGATATCAACACTTGGGAGAATTCTTGGTTGCGCATTGCGATAGCCATATGGAGGGCTGTCTTTCCATCTGGCAATCGCACCTCTAGATCTGCACCAGCTTGTACGAGCTTTGTCGCCGCAGACCAGCGGCTATGTTGAATCGCCACGAGAAGTGGTGTCTGGCCATTATAGTCAACAAGGTTGATATCGGCGCCTGCAGCGATGAGGACTGGAAGCGTCTCATCGTCGATGACATCTGAAGCGGCCGAGAGGTGGAGAGCTGAGCACCCATCGTTATCGATCGCATTGACGTGGACTTTCATGTGAATCACAAGAGTCGCAAATTGTTCCGAAAACCCGCATCTGATCCCCCTCATCAATGCTGTATGACCATCAGTAGTTGGCTCGTCAACATCTGCGCCAGCGACGATGAGAAAAGCAGCAATTAGCATATGACCTTTGTCGAAAGCGCGATGCAGTGGTGAGAGCATCGAACCAGCCAACATTATGTTGGGGTCTGCGCGTTCGAGTAGGATATGAAAGACGGCCGTTTCATCGCTCCGTTCAATGGCGTTGTGCAGTTCATTTGCGGCATCCTTGGTTCGCACGTAATTGACCCCTGGTGGTGGTACAAGTGTATCAAGTAGGATCTGGATCTCGGCAGAGTCGCTGACTCTGGGTAACACGACAGATTGTTGGTTTGGTGCTGTGAACTTTCGAGCAAGACTCCGTAGTGCTTCATCTACTCCAATGTCTGGCTCAATCACGCGCCTCCTGTTGTCATTTTCCCCAAAGTTATAACCGGCACTACTCAGAGTTAGCCTTGAACCAGCGCACTTAAAAAAGAAGGTTACTTGCCGTGTCGCAGCATTAAGGAGAGTATGAAGAGACGCTTGATGAGTGCGCAGCCGCGCAAGGTACTCTTTCAATGCTGCTTCGTTCCAGACGATGATAAGCTGTGGTTCGCTGAGGTGAATGCCGCTGTCCCTATCTGGACCCTTTATGCGTTTCAATGCTGCCCTCAGCTCATGCACATCCTTCGAAACGGAATAGACGAATTCGTTGTTTGATGCCCGAACACTTTCTGTGCCACCTTCAATCGATCGACTGAGTTCGTGTAACCTGTCGAGCGCATTTGTGATCGCGCGACACTCCTTGGCAAGAGAAGCCAAAGTAACTGGACTGGTATTGAGACAATTGGAAATACCCCTACATTCCTCGGAAAGTTGCTCGCATATGTCGATCAGATCCTGCAGGTCTGCCTTCTCGACCCGACTCTGAAGTTGATCCATCCTTGGAGAAAAAACAAAATTTGATGGAAGTTGGCCGACTCAGAAATGCCAAAGTAGTACAAGCCACCAGACCAGATCAGACTCGAGCAGGAAACTCGGGGGGTAATGTACGATTTGACAGCTGCAAATACTTCCGTAAGCTTGCAGTTCCTGCAGAGAGCGGACCAAGCCCGTGCTTTCGCCTTCGCCGCGCTGAGATTCGTGCGCAGAAAAGCAAAAGAGAGGGTTGAAGCCTCAACTCAAATCGACTCAACGCAAGAGAGTGACGACGGCCCGGGCTCTAGTTGCTGCACACCGTTGTCACATATTCAGACCAGGTAACCCACAAAGTCACAAAGTCATAAGAGGCTAAAGAGGTTCCGAGAAGCAGAGCGAGTCGGCTTCTAGCCCGGAAGCAAGCCGTGCCCTGCTGTAAGCCAACATCCATCCATGGATGGTGATTCCTAGCGTTAGGTGCGTGGCAGTTGGTCCTGTCCTGTCCTGGGCGTTGGACCTAGTGCAACCGCTCAGGCATGGATAAGGGGACAAGCCACCCAGCTGCCTGGGAATTAGCTGATCAATACCCAGAACGGCGACAAATAGGGTGCGTTGGTGCTTGAGCTGGCAGATGGGTCGCAACGGTGGCGTCTGCATCTGCAGGTTCGTGAGTCGCTCTCTTTGCGCCTTTTATCCAATCTGGCAGTTACGGAGTCTCGAAGCCTTTTTAGCCTTATGGGGAAGTAAAGCCGCTAGAGAGATCCCTGACTGGTCGCTGAAGAAATGTGAACGAGTCTGTTGAGAACCTGAGATCCAGTGTTGATTATCTTATCCTCAATCAGCCCTGCTCAGGGAATACCCCGTCGGAGGATTGTACTCAACGCCCAAACGGTGAGGCGTCGATGGTATCAGAATGTCAATGCTTAAATGACGCCTAGGGCGGTCCAGTGTCCAGTAGGGCGAGAGGCTGCCCGCAATCCATCGCCAACATCTCCGGAAACCCGTCTGCCCTGTGCGATTTGCGATAACTGTCCATCCAATATCAAGCGTAGCGCGGCTCCATTCGGCGGTGGCTACTTGCTTCAGTGGGCGAAAAGCAATGCCGATTAGTTCGTCGTAGGCTGATTCAGAAGATGCAGACCCTGGATTTGAAAGGTGAAATTCTGCGTCTCGCCCTGAAAATGCCCCCCTTGGCGTCACGCTGGTTCCTGGCTTCTCGCCTTGACCTGGGACGTGCATCAAAAGTTCAGTAATATCTCACTGTCCTCACTCAGCTTGTTTCAGCCCCATGAGATGGAGCAAAAGCCCAGTCAGTTCGTTTCTAATAAAACCGACACAACAGTCAAAAGATAAGAGCAAGAGTTAAGGATCCGAAGAGCTTCAGCTACTTCTCGAGACTACGAGCAACCATAGTTGAAAACTATCTCGAATTGGAATGTCTCGCATTCAAAGCCTAATCCCCTCGTAAACCTTCTCTTATCAATATCGTCATTGCCTGGGGGCTTCTGTCGTGCAGTAATGGATCGGGACTACCAGGATCAAGCTGGGGGATCTCTGCAAGGATCTAGGGGCCGGCGGACCCAGAGTTTATCCGGACTTTCCGGACACAAGCAGCCGGGCCTCAGCTCCGGCTAAGTCTTTAGTTGCGTCACTGAAGTCGAGATAGAACCAACCATCACTCACGACAATTTTCTAACGACTAACGCGACTCGACTCGATCCTGTTTCAGATTCGTAACGAGCCACGTTTTTGCCTTACCACGCTAGCAATTATTTCTAATTTATAATCAGCTGAACTAAAACATCCGCCCACTCTGGCTGGGATACTCTGGAAGGGTTCGCCGGACGCTCAGAAACAGAGCTCCTCGCGGCCGAAAAATACCATGACTCAACCATCTACGCAGCCTCACCTTACTCCACAGTTCTGTTTCTCGTATGGTACTTTGCGAGGTATATCCGAGTCAGATGTACCGGCTGTTCGAATATCCGACTGATTCTTGCTTTTCAGACTTTCTTCGACTTTCAAGATCGTCGATCGATGATTCAATCACCCAGAATCTCAATGCGCTGGTGACACCGTCCCGATCCGGCTTTGACCCTTCGTCTACCTCGCAACGCGTCCCAAGACCAACCTCAAAACAGATCGATCCTCAGCCATGCTTAGATTTTAAGGAGAAAGTGCTGTTTCCATCATGGGAGGCCCGGACCGAAGTACTAAACTACTGCGCTCTCGTAGCGGCAAGCCCGGACCCTGATGACCCGGACCGAACCATGAGGGAACTCGAGAAAGAACAAGACCGCGATAGAATAGTCGACGAACGATTAGATCCATATTCCGGTAGATTCTTCCCGCGTGAAGCACGTACCGAGCGCCTGGCTTCGCTTGTAAGACAAGAGAGAGGCGTGGAGGGTATCGTACGACATAGAACATGGGAGGTCGTACAGCAACGATGCGGGGGCGGCCCTTTCGAAAGCTGGGAGGACATAATCAGCAAATGGAGGAAAGCTCAAAACTCGAAAACGAATGTATAAATTATGATATTACGACACGACCACTCAGATCCTCCAACTACCATTGGAGTACGAAATGTGTAACATGACAAGAGAAGGACTGTAGGATGGGGACTTGATGTACGATAAGCATGTTACAATACTAACACCTCTTATATAGAAGGATTAAAGATACTATTCGTCTAGACGAAAGATTGAAGTTTCATGGTCGGTCATGTCATGTCCCTCAGGAAGCAGGAAAGCGTCTGACTTAGGGAAAGGTGCCAAAAATACCTAGTCTAAGGTCCACTAAACCTTCACTAAGTCTTTTTGTCACTTAGGATAGACGTCTTAAGTTTTCTTGCCTCCCGTAGCATGTGTCTTTCTGTGGCCTTTACCACATGGACAAGCCCTATGTGCCAAACAGATGAAGCTATCTAGATACCAATGTTGAGCAGTCATTTCATATTTATTTTTGTTTTCAGGCGGAGTAGCTGCACTGTGTATGAAATCTTGAACTGTTCTACGCCATGAATTTATGGATTAATTCATTCAATATCAGATTCTTTGCCAACTCTCATGAGGCATCCATGCTGTCATGGGTTCTAAACTGCCCCGCCAAAACCACCAACTCCTCATAACTCAGCAACCCACCACAGGCAGCCTCCGAGAAATTGCCGGCCTACCGTAGCAATTCCTGTCCACATCATTCCGTAAGTCGTATGGTACAGCACCTTCAGCTTTACACGACATCTCTCCACAATCGCCGGTCAGGGAAGCCGCCTCTTTACCCTTCATATCCTCCTCTCATCATCTCCTGGCGAGGTCTTTGTCTCGTCCAAGCTTCTCTGTACCTTTTCCTCCCCCTCGCCCACACACCCCTCATTCGATCCTGCTGGAAGCTTGTAATCCTCGCCGACAACGGACGCTGGCTGCAATTAACTAGCTCACGACTTCTTTACAGTCCGAAGACTAGAACTGTTTTCCATAATCACGATGCCGCAACCTCTTGCCTCTAAGGAGGCCTCGCTCTTCCGATCCGTTATTCGATACTATGAAGACAAGCAATACAAGCGTGGTCTCAAGTCCGCCGAGCTTATTCTCAAGAAGCATCCGAAACATGGAGACACCACTGCGATGAAGGCCTTGATTCTGAACTCTCAGGGCAAGACAGAAGAAGCTTTTGCATTGGGAAAGGAAGCCTTGACCATGGATATGAAGTCGCACATCTGCTGGCACGTGTATGGTTTGCTGCACCGGGCAAACAAGAATTTTGAGGAGGCTATCAAGGCGTACAAGTTTGCTCTGCGACTAGAGCCTGAGTCGGCACAAATTCAACGCGATCTGGCTATTCTGCAAATTCAATGCCGCGACTATCAAGGATACATCCAAAGCCGAACCGCTATGCTTCAGGCCCGACCTCAAATGCGCCAAAGCTGGACTGCGCTCGCTATTGCTCACCACCTTTCCGGAAACCCTGCCGAGGCTGAGAAGGTCATGAATACATACGAGGAAACATTGAAGACGAAGCCCTCGAAATTCGACAACGAGCACTCAGAAGCAATTATGTACAAGAACTCTCTAATTGCGGAGCAAGGAGACTATGAGCGGGCACTTAAGCATCTTAACACCGCTGCCAAGCAGAATCTCGATCGATTGGCTGTCATGGAGGCGCGCGCCGAGTATCTCCACAAGCTGGACAAGAAGGAGGAGGCTGCTAAGGCCTACCGGGCTCTCCTTGACCGCAACTCGGAGCACCCTGCATACTACGAGAAACTCTTGGAGGTCCTGGAGGTACCAGAAGATGACCCCAAGGCTCGCAAGGCTATCTATGATGAGTATGCGGAGAAGTCCCCTCGTTGCGATGCTGCGCGTCGGTTGCCGCTGGACTTTTTGTCAGGTAAATCTGACCGAGACACTAGCCGGCCACCAGTACTAACCTGTTTATAGGCGATGACTTCAAGCAGGCTGCCGAGGCCTATTTGACGTTGATGCTTAACAAGGGAGTGCCATCAACCTTCGCTAACCTTAAGCATCTTTACTCCGACTCATTCAAGAAGGATACCCTCCGTGAACTGGCCGAGAACTATTTGAACTCGCAAGGTGCTGATTCGGAGAGCAAGGATAAAGGAGAGGCGGCGGCACTGTATTACCTTGCACAGCACTACAACTACCATCTCAGCCGGGACTTGACAAAAGCCATGGAGTACGTCGAGAAGGCGATTGAGAAGGACCCCAAGAGCGTTGATTTTGCCATGACGAAGGCACGAATTATTAAGCATGGCGGAGACGTACAAGAAGCCTCCAAGGCAATGGATCGAGCCAGGAAGCTTGACCTCAAGGATAGATACATTAACACAAAGGCAGCCAAGTATCAGCTTCGCAACAACGAAAACGATAAGGCTCTCAAGACAGTCGGCCTCTTCACTCGTGCAGAGACTGTTGGTGGTCCCTTGGCGGATCTTTTGGATATGCAGAGTGTCTGGTTCTTGACAGAAGACGGCGAGGCATATGCTCGCCAAGGTAACGTTGCGCTTGCTCTCAAGCGATTCCAGCAAATCTTCAACATATTTGAGGTGTGGCAGGAGGACCAGTTCGATTTCCACAGCTTCTCTCTGCGCAAGGGTCAGATCCGCGCCTATATCGATATGATGCGATGGGAAGACCACGTCCGTGATCACCCCTTTTTCTCAAGGGCTGCTCTGGATGCAATTGAAGTCTACCTCAAGCTGGCCGATAAGCCTTCCGCAAATGGTGTCAACGGCGCCGATGGAGAGGACGCTGAGGATGCTCTGGTCAAGAAGAAGGCCGCCAAAAAGGCTAGGAAGGAGCAGCAACGCCTCGAAAAAGAGGCTGCCGAATTACAAGCTAAGCAAGACCCTAACAAGGGCAAGGATAAGGATGGAGAAGTCAAGAAGCAGGACGACGATCCTCTCGGGTTGAAGCTCGCCGACACCACCGACCCTCTCGGCGACGCCATGAAGTTCGTCAACCCCTTACTACAATTCAGCCCTAGGAACATCAACGCCCAGTTCGCTGGCTTCGAGGTCTACATGCGCCGCAGTAAGTTTAATACTATGGGCAGACAAGTTTTGCATTTGCTGACCCGTTCTTCTTACAGAGAAGTATATTCTTGCCCTCCGCTGTCTCACAGCTGCCCTAGCACTTGACCCCAAGTCGCCCAGGGTGCATGAACATACTGTAGCGTTCGCTCAACTATTGAAGACTGCGACCGACATTGAGCCTAAGGTTCTGGAGGTGCTAAAGGCTGAGTTCAAGGCAGTCGATCCTTCCACGGATCTCGTCAAGTTCAACGACGAGTTCCTTGCCGCCAACAAGGGTAGTCCTAGACATGTTCTCTCTGCCATCAAGGCACAGAGACTATTGGGTCCAGATAAGGCTAAGAGCGAAGAGGATGTCTCTGGCATCTTGGATATCCCGGATGTCACCTATGAGGATGCCATCGAGGGACTTCAGGTGCTCAAGGGCTGGAGGAGTTCTCAGGTGGAAGCATACAAGAAGGCGGCCCAGGAGAAGTTCCCCAATGTGACAAGGCTCGCATAAGGGGGCATTGCATACCTTCTTACTTGCCGATACTCAAAAGTTTGTGGGGGTTCAGCACATGCCATGATGATATTGAATGACATTGGCCATACCAAGACATATAGATGCATGCAACCGAGGCTGCGATTCCGAGGTCTTCCAGTTCAGGTTAGAAAAAGGTCAAGGAAGGAGAAGGAAGGACAGTCTGGCGCAAGGAATGACTCCGAAGATGGCGGGGAAATGGAGTTTTGGGAACATGGGGAAAAGTTAAAGCATCCATACATCGTGTAGAATAAGCATGCCGCTATCAGCCTCATTGGTCGAGTGCATTGGCTAAACAAGAAGAAGCCGTTAATCTCATCGAATGTATCTGGGGAACTGAGATCTTAGTTACGTCGGACGTGATGACAAATCTGAGGTAAGCCCGTAAAGGGCAATAATTCCTTGTGTCGAAGTCAAATCGAAGTCTTCAAAGATATCTCGTGGCTCCGCGGCCACCGAACACCACAGCCAGTGTGGAGTTGGTGACCATTTCTGGTTGTCTTACCGCGGCACTGTCTGGGCAGGTACGATAGCCCGAGTCTTACATTCCACTACCTCAAGCACTGCGTTTGCACTATTGGTTCCAATCATCATCTGTCAGCAGGTGCGCAATTGACTTCTCTAGGGACCTGGCCAGTCGCAAATGCAGGCATTTACAGGGGCTTTAGGTCTGTAATCTCGGATGCAGACCCCCCGCAGATCAACAGCCTAGGTTCAACGGGCATCCGCGTAATCCGATTGATCCTAAGAAGCAACTCCTTGCGGAAACATTCCAAAACATACGCTCGTTATCAGAGGCTTTGGCGTTCTGTCTTTCCTTTTTATGTCGCCATAGCGAGCTGTCCCAGTCCTTCATTTTCTCGATTCTCTTTATTGAATCTACTGCTTCTGTACACGATCAATCATAATCGCGACGATCGAACTAACCCTTGCACCCCTTAGCGCTTTAAGGTGTTCAATATAAAACACAATCGATAAGCCTGCTGACTGGCATCAACTTCAATGAACACGGAGATCGATAGAAAAATGGAGGAAGGCATTGGAATTTTGCTCCTATTGGAGGGCAAGAAGAAGTTGACTATTGGAATCGAAGAACTGGAGCTCAACGGTGCGGATCTTCTGAAGGAGACATGACGCCAAGTCCTCGACTGATCATTAACAGACCCTGCTGCAAACAAGTCAACTCGCTCCTCCTGTGCTCCTTTCTCTGGCAGTAAGAATTTCAAGCTGCGACGCGATACCACATGGAAACACTTATTGATCATGCTTCTCTACAGAACCCGCTCCCAAGAATAGCATACCCTTTTACAACGTCCTCTGGGCCGAGCTCTCCAACAACCAGATCACAATCGACTACGCCTATCACGCTTCGAAGACATTGATCAAGCCTAAGAAATGGACTTTTACGCTTGCTAAAGACGACGAGTCGACCAGCGGTACCCCAGCCGAGATCTTTGTCAAGACCTTGATGACACGCGCATACGGTGATGCGCAGTCTCAGAAACGCGCCTACGTGCTGGTCAACCCGAACTCTGGCCCTGGCGGTGCTGTCAGGCAGTGGGAGACTGAGGTGAAGCCACTCTTCCAGGCTGCAAAGATGCAGCTTGACCCCGTGATATTGAAGCATGGTGGAGAAGCCGTTGAACTGGCGCAAAACGCCGACTTGTCCAAATACGATACTATCATGGCATGTTCCGGTGATGGAACGCCACACGAGATTTTCAACGGCCTTGCCAAGCGACCCGATGCTGCGAGAGCACTTTCTACGATGCCTGTTAGCCATATCCCTTGTGGCTCAGGAAATGCATTCTCTTGCAACTTGTATGGATCTCATCGACCTTCTTTCGCCGCCCTTGCTATCATCAAGGGCGTCGTGACCCCAATGGATTTGGTGTCGGTCACTTCCGGCCATAACCGTATTATTTCGTTCCTCTCCCAGACGCTCGGCCTCATTGCTGAATGCGATCTTGGCACAGAGCATATGCGATGGATGGGCAGTGCTCGTTTTGAAGTCGGTGTCGTTCAGCGCATGTTCAAGAAGAAGTGTTATCCCTTTGACCTGGCTGTCAAAGTTGAGATCGAAGACAAGGGCGATGTCAAGGCTCATTACAAGCATCACGCGAGCTCCACGAGCCTGAATCATCTAGCTAAGAAGCTTGATGCAGAACCCGTAGCTGAAGATGCAGGTTTGCCCCCGTTGAAGTATGGCACGATCCAGGATGATCTCCCTGAAGGATGGGAGTTGATCCCCTATGACAAGGTTGGCATTTTCTATGCCGGTAACGTGAGTGATCCTACCAAACTGTCGCTTGGAATAATACTAACTGTCACAGATGGCTTATATGTCACCCGATGCTCCCTTCTTCGCTGCCTCACTCATCTCAGATGGGTTGATGGACCTTGTCACTATCGATGGTGACCTGCCTTTCTTCACAGCTATTAAGGTCCTTCTCGATGTTGAAGCTGAGAGACTATTTGACAACCCTCATGTCACTTACAAGAAGATCTCAGCTTACCGCATCATTCCTCGCGATCAAGAAGATGGCTATATCAGCATTGATGGCGAGAAGTGCCCATTCGGACCTCTCCAGGCTGAGATCCACCAGGGCCTTGGACGAGTCATCTCCAAGTCTGGCAAGTATGAGGCTGCGGGACCCAAGAACTGGGACAAGGTGACACTAGCCGACCGCATTCATGGATGAGAAGAGGGCATGAAATCGGATGTATGGCGTGTTGGAATGGCAGTGGTTAGGGAAGCAGATGGGAAGAAAGGCTTCTTGGCGATAATGATACCCACGTAAAAGGATGTGCAGATAGCAAGACTTCTAGATGTAGCAAGTTTAATTTGGTTTTGATTCAGGATTTCTTTAGAACCAACGCTCTGTAGTGGCTATTCTTCTCAGTGGAAGTTCGTCGGAATATGCAGCAATTGGGTTTTCGATGTGACAATTGAGGAGAGAAAACATATGACTGTCTGTGTCTCTAAGATAGCCTAGTCACTACTCCCTTGATACAATCACAGTCCTAACTTATTTAAGGCATAATCAAGTCTTTCAACTTTCCATCTTGATAAGTGTGTGTGAGATGGACGCAGGAATCAACAGTGGATCGCGGGGTCCTTGAAAGCTACCCCACCATCAACCTCAAGTCTTCACGACAACTGACTTCATTCCATCTCTATTATATTCAATAACACCCCGTGTTTGCCCCGCGCAGCACAACAAGGCTCTCAATTCAGTGAACTCGAGGCCCGAGGAATTGCCTTCCCAATAAAAGGTCTTTTTGGTATCGAGAGCAGTTCATTTGTGCACGATATGACTCGTCGAGGTCGAGGTAACAGGATGCCATCAGGGCCTTGGGGGAGATTGAAACCTGTCGAGCAGGACCCGCTACAGAGTATTGGTCTTCCTTCTAAGGGTGATAACAGGTATGTATGGGACAGTCAACATCATCTGCAGACACGCGAGAATGATCACTTTCGACAAGACAAGAGACATGGGCTGACTAGAGACAGCTTACTCAACCCCAAGACCCAGGAGTGGTATTATAATCAGATAATTTCACGTTTCCTTGCTTTCTGTACAGAAGCTGGTGACAAGGACTCAATTATACGGAGTTTCGAAGCTCTAGATATAAGGGCAGTCGATCCAACTCCTGCAACACCATATACCAGACCTCCGCCTGGATATAGACCGCCTTCCACAACGACTTCTGCAGAAGCATCATCTTCAACCCCAGCCCCTGAAACTCCAGCCACAAATTCTAGTGGTTCTTCTCAACCCCCTGGATCAGCTTCTGCCAATGCTGTCGCATCGTCTGCGTCCTCTGCCTTAAGTGGCACTTTAAAAGCCCTCCGTTCTATCATACCGTCTAGTGGGCCATCAACTTCTATGTTGGCGGCTATTGAAGACCCTGACAACACTAAATCCCTGCAGGATGTACTGATGGCATTGAGAAAGCTTCGAGAAGGCTTAGTGGCTACAAAACGAGCTGATCTCTTCTCGATCCAAGCATACATCTTCTCTATCCGCCTGTCCATTCTGGCTAAGCATCCTGAATCATATCATCCGGCGATTCTACACCTTCTCAGATACATGGCTGTATGGACCCCCATGGTTCACAGCGAAATCGAGGAGATCGCCGGCTACTTCATGCTGGATGCCGCATGTCGGCGTAGGAACCTGACCGAGGCATATTTCATCAGACAAGACTTCAACATCAGGAACAAGAAACTGGACCGGATACTCAAAGCGCTGGCACACGACGACTATGTCTCATGGCAGTTCTCAAAGAAACAAGTCAGCCGACACTGCCTAAAGCTGATGGAGTGGGCCGACGACGATTTGAGGCTTCACACCCTGAAATGCTTTTCAAGGTCGTACTTCAACGTGGACTTACCGTTCTTAGAGTTTGCCACTGGTCGCAAGTGGGACGAACTGAAAGAGAAGGACAAGGTTGGATGGGAACTTGACGATGAAGAAAAGGTCACCATTCGGAAAGTAAGAGCGAAGTGATAGTCTTATCCCAGCGTTGGCACTTTCCTCAGCAGCTGGTGGCAGGAGCGAGCAGTGTCTGGTTTGAGGAACCCACTTATAACTCTTTCCGTTGATTCATTCTAATATACAGCGTTTCTCTTTCACGATCTCACTCTCCTATTGAAGCTTCGGCTTCTACTGCCTTTTATCGAATACTACCGGACTGAATAAAGGATCCCGACCAGCAGATTATTACCATGGCCTCCTATGTACTTCTAGTGAAGATCAGGCAGGGCCCTATTATTCTAGCTAACCTTTACCCCCTAATAGGGCGAATTCTGATAGAGGCATCCCGACGCGACCCTGTTAGACTGAGAATTGGGAAGTTGCGAAGACCGTGCCTTCCAAGAGGAGCATGCATTGCATTTTTTACTGATAAACAACCAGGCCCGATCTCGGACCTACATGTTGTGATTGTTTTCTTGCACCATCCTGACCCTGGCAACCACAACCCAACATCACGAACTCAGTTGGTAACCAAGGTATTTTGGAAATGTAAAAGCTTCTAATGAACACTAATTTAATTCAACTTTAGTAAACCTGGAAATCGCTACGAGCGATGGATAGCAACATCAAACCACAGCGTGCTTCACAACTAGATTCTGCTCTCTTCACTTTATCTGCATCACTTGCAAAGTGAAAGCGCACTCGACAGAAATCGCCTTTGATTCTCACGCACCCCACTTGAGCACCTTGAATCAACCCTCTCCGACGTCGCCATGGCACCTCCGCGAAAGAAAGCCCGGACCCGTGGTGGTCCTAAGGATGACCCTGCCGACGAGCAGTCCGCTGGCATCCTCACCGACTTTCGCACCTCTTGGCTTCTTAAGTATGCGCATCTCTTTCATCCCAACCTCAGAGGCCATTCCAACCTTGCGCTGGGGAACAAGAGTCACTGACCTATATGCATGCACAGGAATGATGAGCAGCTAGTCGAGCTCAAGGTGAAAGGCGAAACCTTTCAAGTCGCCAAGAATGTCCTGACCAAGAACTCGGAGTACTTCGAAAGCTGTCTCAACGGTCGCTTTGCCGAGGCCAAGAAGGGAGGCGTTGAATTCAACGACGAGGATATTGAACCGCGATACCTCGCTCTCTACATTGGGCTCGCCTACAGTCACTCTTCTATTGTCCCACATGCGCATCCCCGTCCTGCCCAGAGTCCCGAAGCAACGCCTATCAAGACTCCCATGCGAGACTACGTCGAAGTCTACAAGCTTTGCGACCGCTTCATCAGCCCCAGCATGGGCGAATTCATTGCCCGCTGCATCGACGTCGCCATCGGTAACGGACACCGCGCCCTCTACCGTACCGATACCGACCAAGGAACGCAGAAACTATTCATGCGCGACTTTGCCGACGGCTACGAGGCGCTTAACATGCAGCACAGCTCCCAGGCTGAGCTCGGCGGCCGGATGATCACTTACTTCTGCGAGGGGGTCAGCTACAAAGCTTGGATTGAGACCATGGAGGAGCTTCGGGATCGTCCCAATTTCATTGGCCACGTTTCTCGCGGCTTCGCGACCAAGCTTCAAGAGCTTCAGGCTGGCCGTAAGCTAAGACGCAAGGAGTGGGCTGGACCTGGCGTTGCCTAGGATGACAACATTCGTGGCGGAAGAAGAAGACGATGAGCAATTTTGGGAGGATAGGTTTGGTCGTTCGAGAAAGGTTCTGGTGACGAATAATACCCAAATGATGATATGATGATGATACCAAGGGTAATGGTACTTGGAATCATTGAGAAGGATGCATGGAGATGCAGCGTTACCAGTCGCTAGCAAGCAAGTGAAATGAGACTTTTCAAGAACATGACATGATGACATATCCCGTAAGAGTATTCAATTGGCATTGCCGTAGTGGCCTCTGCAGAGCTTCGTACCTCTTTAGAAGAGGTCGCCATACCACTCAACGCCATTCCTTGTTGCAAAACCAAAGCACCCATGTTTGCCCTTTGAGCAAGCACTTATTAAGGTCTGCAAGGTGACCATCAGCAATTTTTAGTTAGCCATGACATTTTATTTGAAGTCTGCTTCCGTAGAGTGGCTCGGTGTTGGGAGAATGTCAATTGACGTTCGAGATACATATCTCATGATTGAACAACATCGGGACCTCGCATAAATAGATTGGCGAGCCGGTAAGGGATATGATTGGCGTGCCTTATTTAAGATCAAATTTCACGTTTGACTAGTTTGATATCAAGTTATCTTTTATTTGACATGTTGTTTATTGCTTGGCTATTGCTTGTTCATTTCTGAGTTATTCAACCACATCTTTGACACTATCTCTATCAGATTTATCCAACCACCTCCGCGGCAACAATTCAATTCTCTTACCCATTGAATTGAGGTATTTCTCGGCTTAAAACTCAACAACGTTGCCCAGACGAAAAAGTCTTCTCGTATCATCGTCGCATGAAATCGCGGAAGATTACCACCGGGATAAACGAGGATGTAATGGACATCAATCACCGCGCATGGGCAACGTCAGAGACAATGTCCTCGGAAGTGTTCCTCTGATAGGGGTTCTTCGGGCCAGGGACCGGCTAAGTCGTCGGGAGTGGGGCCTTCGGGGGTGCTGATGGTTGAGAGATCGGTCGGGGCTCATTAGCCGCCGGGAAACCTCGGCCTGTGATCCAGCGAGGCTCATGACGTTTTGGGTTGAGTTGAATGTGAAAATCCAAAGCGTGAGCATGTGGGACTGGGCGACGACACAAAACAGGTAATCGAGGAAGAACAAGACATGGTGTGTAAATGAGAGAATGGTTGTGACCTGTAAAATGGGATATTTCTATACCCAAGTAGTGTATTGCAGTGTAGTGTAATCTTTCATACAAATCTGTCGCTAGGTCGTGTGAGATGAATCTGTAGACGAACAGTCTATTGTTGATGAGATAGATGTTGGACCATTAAAGCCAACCAGATGAATTGTCCTTTCAAACAATAATCCCAAGCAAGATGGTATTCCTTTAAACGCCGTTCCAATGCAATATTTCAAGGCTTTCGGTGGTCATAAAAGTGTACCAGTAAACTCCGACACATCTCCGGGGGAGGCATCGCCGTCGCTTCAAACGAATAAAATGAGAGAAGGGCGTAGTAAAACCCGACTTTGATGTTTTGTTTTTTTTGTTTTCTTTGTTTCGTCCTTGGATGGATTCATTTATCGTTTCTCGTAATATTGAACGGCCTTTTCGAGTTCGTCGAGACTTGATCGATCACCGTACATGTTCATGAGAGCCTCATTTCGCTCTCGGTATGCGGCATTCTCGCGCTCCATGGCTTCCATCTGAGCAATACGTCGTCTTTGGGCCATTTCGAGTGATAGCTTTGCTCCGTAACCAATAGCCACAACAGCCGCGACGGGCTTGACGCTGTTATTGATGGTCAGCATCTGGTGTCGTGTGACACTGAGTATATGACACTTACAGTTTTCCAAAGGACATTCTCTTCTGGGGACGAAGATGAGGAACAATGTTGGGGTGGATACGGGCGGCAGTGGAAAAGGATTGTCGAGGAATGCGCATCATTGTGAAGGAGGAAGAGGAGGAGAAGGTTGTATGAAGGTTTGTGTCTGTTTAGGACTCGGCAAGGGTGGCAGGTAAGGAAGATGTAACTCGGTAATAGTAATCCGTACTTGAACTAGTCTATTGATGGGAGGAGGAAACGGGAAAACCGTTGGGGGGAGAATAGAGCGGAGAAGAGTTATTATAAGTTGTCTCTCCTGATAATTGTTTCAAATGAGAAATGTGCCAGCTAGTCTATTCGGTGTATGTGTTGCAACGTCAAGTGCATCTCCGGCTGGAACCCCGGACTTGGACAATAACGAACTGGGGTCATGATCGAACGACAAGACGCCCTGGGGATGGCGGCGATGGGCGATACCTAGGGGCTTGAGCCTTGAAGTTCAGACACAGGCTGTGGGGCGGGGGTGTGAGTGCGCCCCAGAGAGTGAAACGGCACAGAAGCCGATCAGCGATCAGGTGCCTGGAGCCCGACTAAACTTGCCTCTACAGAAGGGACGTTAGGGGATGGTCACACCCCTGTAGAGCAGGATACCCAAAAGCGTAAAGGTACACGTTCTGATGGTGAAGTGGGGAAAGCTGTGGATGGAGCGGGAGGGAAGTGAGTGGGCGTTTAGTGTTAGTATGTGGCACGATGCGGGATGAGCTTGAATTATGGCGGGGTCGGGAGGGATTGTATTGGCTGGGGTTTTTGGTCTTGTTCTCTTTGACTGGCTTGTGCCTCATGCAGCTCAAGAGTCAATAATGCTGTGAAGAGAAATGATGTGTTGTTGATTCTTTGGCCGACAAGATTGAGGCCTACTGAACACAAACATAAGCAGGTAATGAATGGAGTTTTCAGAATATTCGCGATAACTTCACAATGAAGCCATCCTCGGCTGGAGTCGGGTCTCACATTTTCTTCATCACTTTCTGGCATCTGCCCCAGATCTTTTTATTCCGCTGAAAAAACATTCGACCAAGGTAAAGCTCCCACCAAACAACGGCACCTATCCACGGCCAACAGTGGGGGCATCCCCTCTTGTCTCACCACCATGACCTCACCATGGCCTGGTCATTTTCCAATACTGAGATCCATTGTCCCCTAATGATAATGCCGGCTCTTGTCTAAAAATCTCCTGTTTTCTTCTTTCACTGGACCTATTGCTAAGCTGCAGTTGACCCTCTCCCCGATTTTAGTGGCACCACCTTCAACGTCTCGTGCATCTGCAACTGTTGCACATCTCAACTTGATGAATCTCGCCCCGTCTCTAATGCTTCATTCTCACACCACCAGACACAGCAAGACATGTGTTTCTTCTATTTTCTTTTTCAATATGCGTTTCTGTATTGCACCTTTTCGGTCACTTTCCGCTTTCCCCGCATTTTCTCTCTGTACGGCATCTCTTGTGCACCTTGGCATCAGATTGTGTCTCGTGTTACTGATTAGGAACACGTAACTGAAAACGCGTCTACTACTCGGCTGCACAAGCTGTCTAGAACATGCCGCCTGCGCATCCAAACCGTTTGAGTAAAGTAGCGTTTCCCCGCGTCTTCCATTTCACGCGATAACTTGGACAGAACACTATAATCCGCCAATCATACGAGCCGGACCCCTCGAGATCTTCGCCCTCATGCTCAGGCATTCACAATTGACCGCTACAGCAAAGAATCAAGTAACAAAAGCTCCTTGCAGCAAATGTAACAGACCAAAAGCTCATCTTTTGCGACGTATCCGCATTCATTTGCATCTCTCTTACAACACTTTCAGCCTCATTCGGCTCTGCACCCGCTATGGAGAATTCAAGGGTCCAGGCTCCACGGTCCAGACAATTACCGGCTCCACGCAAGGTCATGACCCAGTTCTTCTCGGCAACAGCTTCATCTTTCAGGCGCGATATTTCCATTGCCACAATCACATCGTGAAACTTCTAGATATCAAGACATCGGCATCGACTCTTTACGACTGTCTTGTGATAATCTACCAAGCACATAACCCCGCGTTGCAGATCAACATCCTCCGCTATGATGCTACCTTTCAGCCTTCGTTATTGGCTGATATACTGACTACCCCCCACGATATGTACACTCACGGACGCCATCATTTCATCAGTTCAAGACTGGTCTCGCATTTTGTGTGAAATGTCATTTACGAGCAGAAAACAGCATACATATTTCCTCTCCTCTCCTCTGAAACCGAGATTCTGCAACCGAGTGCCTGTCTCCATAATCCGGACCGGTAGTTACATGCCTCTTCCCGGCATGATTGAGATCAAGACGGCCCGGTTACTATGCAGCAACTGATCAAAGGGCCCTCGCATGTCGAGGCGAGCGGCTATGAGTTTCAACTGAAGTTACCGGATATGTCCTTGAACAAGCGCTTCACTCTTCGCTTCAATACCAAGCCATAAGGTCGTAGCAGTGTGGGACCCAGATTATCAAGTTGAACGAGGGCTTGACCAACAAGAGCGAAGCTCTAGGAGACACCGGCCAGATGTGCGGCCATCGAGTAGATGACAACGGATATGTAGTCCAGCATGATTCTGTGCCATCCATGATGAGATTTCGCTGTTATAAGCCAAATTGTTACCATCATCAGTACATACGACCAAAGGTAGTGGAAAATACGGGATCCCGTCCGCTCTCCCATAGTCAAGCCACTAACCGGCGGATTAGTAGTTGGGTCGGTGACGACCAGCGAATCCCCGCTGTTGTATGTTTTTGCCGTTGTTACTACATCTTACTTTTTAGCTATTAGATAAATCGTGTAAACTGAGTAAGTTTTGTTTTTGCTACGTTTGGCGACTGACTGGGCCGCGAAATATGTCTCTTGTGACTTTGACTCATCTGCCCAGCCTAATGTCCCCGCCACTGAACGGGATCCGTGGAGCCTCCAGGTAACAAGTTGAAGATGGGACAAGGTAAGACTGTCTACTAGACTCATCGACAAACATAAATCTTGACCGCGTTGTTGACTCTTTGCAGGGTCTTCGCCGAAGCTGGCTTCCAACCAGGCAACAACGATAGTTTTGTTGCCAGCTGAAGAACTGCTCCGTGATCTTCTGCTTGGGTGCCGACAACAGTCGGTGACGCAAGAATTGGAGATATGGATAACTGGTGGCTGGGTGAGAGATCGACTTCTGGGCATCCCCTGTTCCGACTTGGATATCGCTCTCAGTACCATGACTGGTGTGCAATTCGGCAACCTTCTGGCAGAGTTCCTTGAGCAGAATGAAGCCTCCTACCGGCAGCGCGCATTGAACTTGGGAATCGAGTTCAAGAAATTCAACGGCTTTCATACAACCAAGAAGAACCTCGACAAGTAAAAAAAAACTCGAGACTGCCGTTGGAAGAATCTTCGGCTTGGACCTGGATCTTGTCAACCTGCGTAAGGAGGTATACGACGACAATTGTCGTACTCCGAAAATGGAGTTTGGCACCGCCGAGGAAGATGCGTTCAGACGTGACGCAACTGCTAATGCCCTGTTTCTTGACCTGCAAAACCGAAAGGTTGCCGACTTCACTCGCAAAGGCCTGGACGATCTGTATGCTGGCATAATGCGGACGCCACTCGAGCCGAGACAGACCTTTCTCGATGATCCCTTGCGTAAGTTGTTCCAGCCATCCTGAAGCTTGGGGGTGCACGGACAGCTTGATCGGACCCTGGACAAAGGTCTAGCTATGTCCCCCCAATGGCGAGCTGGTGCATCTCAGCAAAGATAACAGTGCCAGACATAACTTTGAGTCAGGGGAACCGACAGCGAACTCACTCAGTACGTTCAGTCCAGGCCCTTTCCTGGTGCGCCCTGGTCTTCTGGTGCAAACTTTCGTTGTGTGTTCTAGGGACTTGCTGAAGTTCTCCAGATCCAAGACTTACGAGGTGCCATGTCGGCCAACCAGGTTTTAGGCTATGGTTAGGGCGCGGATGGAAATAAAAAGAGACACCCCAGATCGAAGGCCGCGAAGAGGTTGAGAAAGCGGAGAGAAGGGAGGGGGGCCGGACATAGGCAGTTCAGCCAGTCTGGTGAACTGAACCTCATTGGATAGTTAACTCTTACCCGGAACCTATACACCAATGCCAGAGGCGGTGGTAATGGATGAGACTTGCATGGCTATCAATTAATACCATTAGTTTAGAAGGAACAAAATATCCAAACTCATCTATCTCTTGTACCGATTAAACAGCCTCCTCAGAAAACCAATCAGCTCATAAATGCATTAGCCTATCCTCCGCATATCCCAGAAAACACTTGACAGGCCTGTAAGTATCATCACACTGACCAATACCTCCAAGATATCCCACCTCTTTAAAGACCTCTTCCTCCGACATCTCGAACTGATCTCGAGGATAGAAGAACTCGCCATTGACAACTTCATCAATCTCCTGTAGAGAGTATTTGCGCAGCCAATCGTCCCAAACTCGATCCCAAATCAGGTTCGTTTCGGTTCTACTTGTATACAAACAACCCTCTCGCCACATCATCTTGTAGTTGAGAAGCACGGCAGTGAGAAACTCGGTCGCTGCTTTACTGGAACCGAGCTTCCAGAGTTCTGAGCGAGGTGTCTTTTGCTGCCGCCATATTTCGCACCAGATGAGAAAGCGTAGGATGAGCTGATGAGGAGTCCACTGCATCAGGTCTTCGGTTGGAGGGACGATGTAATTGTGAACAAGCTCAATCCTCACAGCCGTTTTGACTCCGAACATGAGGCCTTGGAATGCTGGCTGAACTGCAACCAGAGCTCGACTGAATTGGCGATCAGTGAGCTTGAAGCCCAGCAAGTCATACCAATCCATGAAATGCGAAAAGGCAACTCGAACAGGCGGAGAATCAACAAAGGATGATATTTCCAGAGCCTTGCGTTTCTTGGCCTTGCTGTCCTCGATGGCAAAGAGCTTCGTGACTATCGCATTAGCAAAGTCATGAAAGTACACATCGGCATGGAGTCCTTCGAGACTTTTTGGACGATTCGCAAGGTAGAGAAAAGGGTTTGTGAAGATGACGAATTCGTAGTCGCACTGCACTTGTTTGCACCAGTTGACGGATGGATTTCCTCTGCCTCTGGCAAATTGACGACGAATCAAGCCTCGACGCATGAGTCGTGAGCGGCGGAGAGAGCGAGAACTCTGCTTAGTGTGAAGATCACCAGAGCCGTTATAGGGAGTGTTTTCGCATACCCGAAGTAGATACTTCATGCATACTTCTGCGCCAAATCGGCCTTTGGTGGCCTTTTTCTCTTCGGCGGGCTCAATTCCCTCTCTGTGGTCATCAGGGAGGTCTGGTTCATAGTCAGGGGTCGATGGACGCGAACCCAGAGAGTCAGTTGAAGCTTCGTTGATGATACCATGATTCTCCGGTTGCTTAGAGTCATTTTGGTGGCCATCTGGGGACTCTGACGAGACAGGTTCTAAGTCAATGTGAATAGACGATGGAGACGAAGGACGAGAAGAGACGGGACATGATAAACTACTTGAGTGTTCCATACTTGTAATACAGAAGTTTGACAATATCAATAATTGGGAGAAATAAAGCGACAGAGTCGCTAAGTTGAGGGAACGGAGGTAAAAACCTATATAACCATCATTGCTTAAGGCTCATTTCGAGTTGGTAATGACTGTTCATTCAACACCCAATGCGAAACGAAAGTCTGGAAAGAATTGTTCTGAGGTCTTTAAAAAGAATAACGGTAGACAAAGAACGCTGATATGTTCAAAGAGCCCAAGCCTTGATCAGACCCCGGGTCGCTTCTATGCGTCAAAGAACAAGGAGGCAGCCAGATATAGAAACTAACATAAAATGTGACATGTGTTTATTTTTATGTTTGAGAAAGCTAAAGGGAAGAAGCGAGCCACTGTTTCGACCAGATAGTAGCAAAACTGATGAGTTCATCGTCCAAGTTGCATTGGGATACCTCCCGTGTAAAGAGGCTCACCTGGCTGCTCGAAATGATCACCATAAGAACTTCCTGCACTTCTTGCTTCCGCATAGACAACGAGTCATATGGTCGATATCACCGCCCGACTCTTCTCCCTCATGTGAAACCCCATCAACATAGTCAAATGTAAGCTCCTCACCCTCCGGTATGTCCTTGATCGCGAACAGGGCAAGATCGTGAATATGCTTGTCAGCATGATCGCCCACCCGCGCAAAGATTCGCATGTTGGGGTCGCAGGAATGATTGACAAAGCGCGTTGGGCCAGACATGAATTCACCGTCGACTTCGAGAGATGGACCCTTCAACCGTTGATCAAATGACTCGGGGTCTGTGAATTTGTCGAGAGCGAATAGGTAAACATCCTTGCGTTGAGAGATAGCAGACTGTGAACGCCGGCGATCGGCTTCAGTGGATGTGATAATCTCACCGAGATATCGGTCGACGAACTGGCCTTTCTTAATCGAGACTGGAGACCTCACTCCTATTTCCAAGTCAGTGAATTGTTAGTCAAGATGAGAATGGCACTCACCCCACCCGCGGTCTGGTGTACGAAATATCTCCAAAGGAATCGTTCTGCCACGCTCGACGACGCGGTTTGGACAGTCTATACTGCAGGAGCAGCTTTGGTGGCACTCGTAGATAGGCATCTTGGAGCTATGGAACTTTGACCGCAAAAGACCAGCCTTTGCGCCGTGGGAGTGATAAGCATATGCTATTCTCCGAGGCTTTGGTGTGGCTCTCTCTATCTTGTCTCCAAAGGCATCTAATTCCTCTTCATCACTGGAATCGTCGTCCTCTAAATCGGCGAGACAATGACAACTTGTGTATTGACACTCCGAGTCCTTGGCGCAAGAGCAGCCGCTGCGGAAACTATCCCCAGCTTGCTCAACTCCTTTGCCAAGTACGACATTGTTGATGAAACGGAAGTCATCTGGGAGAACCTCGTTGTCTTCTTCGTTAACGACTGTGACTGGGAGTGTTGAGTGAGTTGAAAAGGAGCGAATTTGACACCAGTGACAATTATTGCGCTCTACTTCATAGCCCTGTAAGTCAGATTAGTCATAGCTATAGCTAATTTGAGATTAGGCGAGTGTATACCTCTTTCCCGTGGAAGTAGAAATGGCGTTCTGTTGCCTTTAGCATCGTAGACATGTTGATTGTGCTGTGTTATTAATGAGGATGGGTTGTTTGTTTTGGCTCAGAGACGGAGTAATGCTGCGCTGATAGTGAGAGTGAAAAGAAAAGGAAAAACGTGGAAAGGGCAGAACATTTATTATTGAACAAGGTTAATGATCGTTGCTTGAGAATATTAAGAAAGACACAGTTTATTCATGTCTGGTGTAAAGCAGAGATCTTGAGCTTGAAGAGTTAAGCCCATGGTGAAGCACTGAAAGTGAGTTGGTGGGTGCCTATCAAGCACAAGCCGTATGCTGATTGGCTCTTGCTCCGATGAACATGTCGCTGAGCTTGTCAAGGTGAGCACCACTACTCATCTATTTTGCAACTGGACTTGAGTATAGAAAACTTGTTGAGGATTCCTCCTGCAAGTCGAGGATTCGGTATGTGACAGAATGTAGGCAATGGATGAAAGGAAAGGGCTATCCCCACGCCCAAAGCGTGTTGCTCCCTAGACGTACTGCTGAGATTTTATAGCATGTATTTTCGACATTTCAAAATTGACCGAACGTCGCCAAATAGTTGGTATAGCGTCACTGTGTGCACTGCAAAAATGCTGTCTTGGACATTGAATGGTCTTATCCAGGAGTTGATAGAGGCGTCTTGGAAGTTCTCTTGGTCTGTGAATTGGTAAGTCGTCAAGATTAGGTAGATCACGGTGTTTCACAGTAAACAAGGGCATTCCTGGACATGGTGTTGCATCTGACAAGCACGAGATCTATAATCAGCGACTACTTTTACAGTGTAGAGTGAGTGAAAGACAAGGTTCCCCTCTGGGAACCCCTGGTCTGTTCTTACAAAACCCCACCAACGAGACTCAACTTGGTGATACCTGGAGAGAGCTACAGATGAATTGTCCTGTGGTTTCGTAACGAGTACCTCGAGATTCTTGGCTGAAGCCGTGGAGGCATGTACCAAGCTCTCCATCACATCGTGTGCATCATACTACATAAAAGGCCGCGTCTCCCCCGTTCTATGACTGACGACTTGAACTTAATCTTTCGTCACCTTCACCAATATCTGTGAATTGATCCCTGTCATGCTGCAGTTCATTGACTGGATCTGAACAGGCAATTGAATCTTGGAATTGCTACTGATGTCAATTCATATCCCACCTCTCTCCCCTTTTACTCGGCTAAGATTTAACCTGATCACCTAAACCAAATAAAGATTGATGAACAAGACAAGGGCCCTTTCTTCTTCTTCTTCTTCTTCTTCTTCTTCTTCTTCCTTTTTTTAGGCTTTAAGTTGGTCCCGCTTTTACGCCTCCCCCTGGTCTGCTCTAGCACTGGCTGGGTCTGTCTAGGCCGTGACTTTGGTGGAAAAGCCCCCAAAAGAAAGAGTCCATAGGTTCGGCGACTCCAGAACAAGACCAACAAACTCGGCTCCCGTCTATAACCACAACCATACACATACACATACATACATACATAATACCTAGTACATCCTTCTTCTGCGCCTCCTTCGTGCGTCCATCTTCTCGGCTTCTTTCTCCTTCTCCTCTTTCGTTCCTACAACAAGACACTCAGTCAATCATTCAACTGCGACGCCATTTTCGAGACCCGCCAAATACACTACACTACTGTCCCATCTGATCTGATTGATCTGCGACCTTACTTTGGCCAGCGATGGCTAGTCACTAAAGTTGGGATCCTCATTCCTTAACAAGACCTTCAATCCACAGGTCAACGGCGATCGTCGCGCCCCTTGTAGCAAATATGGTCCGGCTCTTCTCTGTCTCGCAACATAAACATGACATCGCCTCTAACATAACGCTTCTAGGGCTGCTGCCTCTCTCGTTCTTCGGGTCCCAACTCTCCCTACCCTGGTGGCGCACCCAACGCTTCGTCGCGCGCGATCAATCCTCCCCCGCTGGCACTCCCAGAAGCCGCTCAACCGCAGATTCCCGCCGAAAGACGTCGCCAACACCGTCGCAGTAATCGTCCTCTAGATCAGCATATCGATAAGCCTTTGCGACGACACGAGTGGACTTCCCGCGATCGCACCTGGACCAAGAGTGAATTGGCAAAGGAACGAGCTGCCTTCTTCGATACAAGAGTCACCGGCAGGCCTGAGATATGGCAGACTATTCATGCGGGGCTGGCAGTCTTGTGGGATCCAGCGGGCCAAGATGCTCAAGATGACGGGTCCAATGGCCTTGCGACGGCTCAGATGATCCTATCCGCTGCTGAGATCTCTCTGCCGACTGGCAACCTCTCCAATGGCGTGTACGATTCCCTGGGAAATTACTATCAATTGCCGGAATGGGTTGTTTGCGATCCGCTGAATGTGCAAGAGGATCGAGAGGAGGGCGCAAAGAGCAATCTTTCAAATGCTGGCGACGACACAGCAGCGGATGAAGAATTGAGCGATGAAGAAATGGAGGGCAAGAAACAAGAAAAGGGTAAAGAGGTGGACGATGCCCAAGTGACAGTCAAACTACGAGCCAGACTCAGTGAAAACGGCCAAGATATCAAAGTCACCATATATGAGTCGGATACTGTTCGTAGTGTAGCCAAAAAGATTGCTCTCGAGGCTGGCGTAAGTACCCTCCTTATCCTCTGGCCAGCAAACAGAATGCTAACAATATCCAGCTTGCGTCGACAAAGAAGATCAGGATAGCATACATGGGCAAGATTCTCAAGGACAATCTGTCTCTCACGGCACAAAACTGGCAGACTGGTCATGTTGTCAATGCCCTTGTCTTTGACATTTGACTGCCCCCTACCACTATGTTCCAGCACCAGACATGAAGCAATCTGTTCCCTGACCTCTCGTCTTAGCCAAACCTTTACCCTCATCGTTACCTCATCCCAATGGCAACTTTGCCTTTTATTGATCTGCCACGGTCGGCCACTTTTGGACAATACCCAATATCGTTCACCCTGTTTTCACCGCATCTGTGTCTTTTGGAGTTGGTGGATGCTAGTCTAGCGATGATTTCCCCATCACTTATATTCCTCTCATATCCCCTTGTGTCGAAATTGATTTTTGGGTACTATTACAGCCGTTGCCCTACTATACACATGTATATAAGCCCGACAAGGCACCCGACAGGGCACCCAACAAGTTTGGCAAGGCCCTCGCTAATATCACTGTTCCCTGTTCTGTTCTGAACGAGAAAGCCGAGCCATTCAACCACACTTCGTGATAGCCACTGGCTCTGACTGTGACCCTATGTGAAACCATGTGCCTTTGTAATCAACGTCTACCTAAACCTGCTTACAATGAACTCTACCAGGGACCCATCGCACAGCCTTTTGGTGGGAAAACACCCATTAACATGCTCCGACCCTGACTCCGCTCCAACCATCGTCATGAATCTTGCAATGCTGAGACAACCCTTCTCCTATAATTAGGTCCAGGTACTTGTACGTATACCAGCTGACCTAAGACGTGGACCCGATCTTGTTGAGTCCCTTCAAAGAGCCCAAGCTCAATGCCAAGCCTTGTGATCGACTTCTTATTCTGACGAAACCAGTGATGGGTCCATCCTCACCCTCCTTCTCAATGCTCAGATTTGCAAGAGCATCCTCACCTAAGTTCATGGTTAGCACAGTCCTATGTTGCGATAGACTAGAATAACTTACCGAACACACTTCTAGCGTACAGATTGGCACTCAAGAATTGACAGTCACCCTTGAGACTAGCCTCTGGTGTCAGGCAGTTCATATTTGTGCAGGCCATGAGCTGGTCGAGGAAGTCACGTAGCGACTTGGCCTTGGAGTTGATGTTGACCTTGTTCTCCCACTCGAATTCAGTCCACATAGTGCGGAATTGGGTCTCAGTGCAAGTGGCGGGCTGAATATAGTCCATGATATCGACGTGTAGGTCGTTAAGAATAACGACATTGGTATCAGTAGAGTGAGCGCCATCATATACGACGTTACCAAAGATGACACCAGTGTCTGTTGATGAGACCTTGATCGTGCATTGCACGTTGTGGAAGTCATGGGGACCCAGGTTCTGAGTAGTAGGTCGCTCGACAACCTTCAGGTCACCAAGCGTGGCGAACTCGACTGAGAGGTTTTGAAGAGTCTCTGTTGTCTGGTTGACAAGAAGGACATCGAGAACAATATCAAACTGATGAACCTTGACATATGCTTCAGCATACACAGGGTCAGAGAATCCAGTCAACTGAACCACGCGGCTCAGCTTGGAAGAAAGATCTTCGGCGGTGCCCTCACCACCAGTCGCCCTCTCCAGATCCACCTCAATCTCATCGAGGCCTTCAGTGGTGTTCTTCTTGGCCAGTTGTCTAATTTGGACAACATCGTCAACCTGTACAGCAGTCTTGGCCTTCTCGAAAGCCTCCTTGGCGGCTCGCTTCTTCTCTTCCACCTGGACCATGGCTCGGAAGGCCTTGCGGGTGTCATCCAACCAGACGGTCTCAAGCTCCTTCTTCTGCTCAAACTCGGCCAATGAGCGCACACAAGACATGATTCGATCCACAGAGTCCTCATCGATAGGAGCCTTGACAAATTGCGATTGACCAACACGGATGATAGAAATCATGATCAGCATGGCCTCAGCTCGGAGGGCGTTGGTTCGAGCCTTATCCGAGGAAATCTCATGGTGTCGCATCACAAGCTTGACGAGAGTAGATGACAGAACAGTGGCCAGATAGTAGTCTCCGTCGAGGATGAGCTGGCGCAGAGGAGGCTTTTGGGCAGTCTTGACGGCCTCTAACTTGGCAGCTGCTGAAGACTGGCTGGTAAGAGCAGTCTCGGTAGCATATGTGCCATCAGCCAGGACCTTGCGTGAGCCAGATGGGGCGGCCGGCTTCGATGTTCCGTTGATGTGATCGTCAGTCTGTTCCTCGCTATCGTGAGAATCCAATAGCCGTTGCTCCGACGCGAGAATGGGCATCTCGCCAAGACTAGCGCGTATCCTCTTCCAAGCCTCTCGGATATCCTTCTCTTCGAGAGAGTACTCACCAATAATCCACATGATGCCACGGTACACCTTGCCAGCTCGGACCTCACCCAGGGTGGAGACAAGTCGCTCAATGATGGTGGTACGCAAATTGGGGAACTTTTCGACAACTTCCTTGACAAAGTTGATAACATCGACAGCGGAAACGTTGTTAAAGTCGGCGATAAAATCCATAAGCAGCTCCACGACGCTCGCTGCGACCTCGGAAAACTTGATAGCGCATTGGTGAATCGAGTGGATAAGGAGAGATCGGTACTCGGTGTTCTTCTCGTATTCTTGGTCGACTGTCTTGGAGAGTTCCTTCTTGAGCAAGAGGACAACCTCTTCGACATTCTTGCTGGATACCATCTCAAGGGCAAGACCAAGAGCCTTTCGTCGGACGTCGATATCGGTACTGGACAGAACTCGGAGAATCTCCATGGTCAAGTCATCAAGGACACCCTCGTTCTTCTTGCGCAATTGATCAACTCGATCAAGCACGATCAGCTTGACATTGTTATCTGCCTCCTTGATGCTCAACTCAATGAACTTGGCGGCGGCGGCCTTGACCGCTACAGGGTTGTTGGTTAAAGCAGTAAGAGATGAGGCAGCTTCGTATACGACGGTTGAGGCGCCAGCTTCTAGCAGGTCGAAAATCAATCGCAGATATCGTGCCTATTGTATAGTCAGTAGCTATTCAGCCTCCTCCGTGAATGACTATTAGACAAACCTTGTTCTGGGAGTTCTGAACCGCATCCTTGCGAATGAACTCGAGTTCGACGAGCTGAAGAAGCTCCTCTGCATTGGGAATGCCCTCAAAAACGGAACTGAGGTAAACGAGAGCAGCATCGTGATCAATGCTAGCAAGAGCGGCAAACCCATTCCTTCGGCAAACACCGTCACTCTCTCCCTCGAGGAAAGTCGAAATGAGTTCGGAGGCATCAGGAATCAGGGAGGGCGAGTGCAAGAAAATGGAGGCGATGGCGAAAACGGCGTTCTTTCGGACGTAGGCATGTCGGTGTTCGAGACAAGATCGTGCTGAAGAGAGGAGAGGCTCAATGAGCTCAGCTTCCCTCAACTTGCAAAGGAAGCGCAGGGTGTTTCCTCGAATGTATTCGTTGGGATGTTGGAGATCGTTTCGGATACCGTTACTACGAGAGTATTGTTAGTAACAAACTATCGAAACGACCAACATGTCTTGGTGTATGAGTAGTAAGGGCGTAGCCGTACCAAACTAGAATCATCTCCTGCTTGAGCTTGCCGCTGCTGTCAAGCTTGGGGCAGATTTCGTAGTAGAAGTAAAGAAGCTTCTTGAGAGGCTTGTACTTTGAAGGCATAACGAAACGAATAATGTGCATTAGAAGACTGGGCATAGGGTCGCCATTGAGCATGATGGTCAAGATGCGCTTCATAGTATCGACCTTGGTCTCATCGGTACCCTTCTCCAGCTGCATGCGCAGATCGGAAACGGTGGGGACGTCGGCCGCATTGTCCTGGTGAACGAGACTGTACGCATTCTCAAGAAAGCCAGACATCTTGAAGAGTGTCGCCAGTTGCTGGCCGAGGAAGTTGGTGGGAGTGTTTGTTGTAGATGGGACGTGGCTCTTAGGGGGGACGTTGGAGGTGGATTGGAGGTATAGGTGGTATTGACTTCGGCGGTGGGGAGGCTCAGCTCAGGGGTTCGAGCTGCTGTAGAGCTTTAATTGTCGGGATGAGTAGCAGAATCCGCTGGGCCATTCGTTGAATTGTATCTGGCGCGCAATCGCTAGTAGCTTTTACCAGAATCCCCTGTGGTAATTTGGACCAGCTCTGGACGGCATCAACTTCAAGAAGATCTGTCCTGCCAGCGATGTCGAACAGGTGGCACTAAGCGACTTGATGTGAGGGACGCTATCACGTGATCCAACAAGGGGGAGTTTGGTACTTGGAGGCTACCATTCATTGTTGATTTCTCTATCCCTAATTGAAGATTGAGATGTGTAGTTCTAGAAAAGAAGCCGTCGGGTATTTTTCAACGATGAATTAGGACTCAATTTAGCACAATAGTCCGCTCTTATATTATTGTAGTTGCCGTGCCTTGTTGATAGCTATGCTTTTAGTTGACAGCTGATGTACTTCCAAAGCCGCATAGTTGGCTACCAACGATAAGGTCTTACACCTGTCGTAAAGCTGTTCTGCCCCGCCGAATGTGGTCCGTGCACCCATCTTCAACCACCAGGTCCCGCCATTCTTTCTCAGCCTTGCGATCTCAAGTGCGGTAGTTGATAATTCTTGACTTGAATAACATCACCAGTCTTGCCGCCCTCCCGCAGCAGCAAAAATGACGTCCTCAAACGAACCATTCTACTTGCGCTACTAGTGAGTCTATAACCAAAGCTCCTTCTAGCTATCTCATCCAATTGATTGTCGCGAAACGATGCTAATGACGTTTCCCCAAACAGCTCTGGCCATATGGGTCGCTTCGGTCATGAATTCCTTGGTACGAATAGTTTGACGATATCTATACACGATTCAAAGTAACTCTAACGTGTCATGCGCTCAGAATTCGATTTTCGAGTCGTTGGCGATGGCCGCAGCGCGGTAGCCCGATATGCCAACAACTCCAACTACCGAAACGATAGTTTGATCCGAAAAGAGAGTAAGGATTACGCATTAGAACTGTGCAATCAGAATTTTGACAGGTTTATAGTGTGTGTCAGCTCAGTAGTTGTCGACGAAATTAAGCGTATCATCAAGACGAGCGAGATCACGAAGTACGACGAACCGAATATCCAGTGGTCTTTCTTGAACATCGCTAACCCAATATAGAGAAGATGATTCGAAATGGCCTCAAAAGAACAAAGATGGACGCCAGGAATTGGAGATTCGGATTGGTAACGATCATATCGCGTTCGAGGTCGGTCATATTGAAACAACATATCTCAGAACGCTACTAACAGCACAGTAGACCGCCAAGATTGGATCCCTGGTTGATGTCACAGAGTCTGCTGATCCAGAAGGTCTGCGAGTGTTCTACTACCTTGTTCAGGATCTCAAGGCTCTTGTCTTCAGCTTGATCGCTCTGCACTTCAAGATTAAGCCAATCTAAAGGACGAACCCGACTAAAAATAATGGGATACGGTGTTATGGGATCGAAAAGTCGAGCATGCAAATGATCTCGATAATAGCGGTGATAATGCGGCTGTTGCTAAGAACGATACCCGGGCTGTGAAGGAAAGGCGCGAAAGACTACCGTAAACAAGTTATGTTTATATATCACGAATGAAAGAACAATATCAACAAAGCGATCCCACGTGGGAAAACATCTTGGGCATTATTGTCAAGTTGATGGGATATCAAAAGATACTTGTCAAACAGCCCTTCGATCAGAGAGCCAGGGAAACCATGAAGTCACAGATGCGCGAAAACTTGGGAGAATGTGTGGTACGACGGCTAATGGAGTCATTTATTAACTACCAATCGTACTTGATAACACGAGTCGGATCATGCTATATGTTCTATAATTCAGCCTGCAATATGCAAACCCAAATAAGACTTGAGTAACACACGCTTGGACCAGACTCCCTAGGCAGGCTCACATGTAAGATTGAGTGAGCGGTCAGGAAAAGCTCTCTGCACTTGCAAAGCAGATATTCTGATACCACGCCACTCCCGGAAAAAACAACAAGCAGAAGAGATGGAGAAGAGATGATGCAGGTGGCGGAGGCTCCGATGCTGTAAAAGCTAAGGAAAAGGCGGCGGATAGACCCGTGAAGAAAACGATAATCCGAGATTGAGATGGACATTACGTTGTATGATGATTTCAGATCATGCCAGCAAAACAAAACGGTTTCGGGGTTGGCGTGTGCATCATGTATCATGTCTCCTTAGAGGGGCCCATCACCCCATACGAAATGCAAGCGGCAACGTGGTGGGGGGTGCTGGGGCTGCCCGATGGCGCCTGGGCGCTTCTGGGGGGACGGCACGGAAGCAGCCCAATTCTTTTCCATTTGCATGAGGAAGCATCTGATTCTGATTCCGAGAGAGCCATCAACTCGAGTTTTGGGAAGGGCACAACTGGGAAGTCGAGAAATGGTAAGGTCCTCATTGTCACTTCTAAAAAAGTCAATTGTGAGATTTCCTTTGTTGTGATAGTGATGAAAGGTCTTGTTAAGGTTCATCATGGCCCGCTAAGATGGAACTGGAACTGGACCTAGACCTAGACCCTGGTCAAGCCTCAACATCTCAGCCGAAGATGAAAAGGAATCATAGTAGAGAGGACACCTCGATCTGCATCTTCTCAAGTTACATGTCACCCGGGGAAGTAGGCAAACCTTTCCACGGATACTTCAAATGGGGAGTTTCGGGCAAAGTCGAGTGACAATGGAAATACAGATACTTGGTGTTCTTAAGCTTTCTCACCGTTAGCACGCTTGTCTTTGTTGTAGGGAACATGGCTGTTGGTACCTGAGCAGAGTTTACCTATAGTCATTAAGGCCTGTATGACGGATCTTTCCACAGGAACTCGAAGTACTTTCATTTCTCATCATTGATTCAAATTAATGAGGCCGTCATGCCGTTTAAGGAGTTGCATACCCCAAGTTACATGGCATCAGCCTTTAACCCAAGACACCTCATGGACTGTAAAATAATGAGCTAGGAAGACTTGGAAGACTCCCCGTCTTGCCGAGTGGAGTGGATGGAGGTCGAGGTACCCACATATCCGCTATAGAACCCCGGATGGCAGCAAATCAAGCCCCTCGTCCGTCGATATGAAAATGGAAGACAGCCCAGCAGCATCACCGACCGACTTTGACCCTTTTCTTGCCATCACATCGACCCATATCCATATGCGATCTGGCATGCTTTAACCCGTTTGCTTGCTCCATCCATCCTCTTTCTGCCTCACCTGTGTTATTATTATTATACCACTCCTAACCCCCAACTTTTGTGATGGGCACCTTGTTTGCTTTCTAAAGGGCTTTCAGGCGCCCTGTTCAACTCTACCAAAGTCGCTAGTCCCCGAGATCGCCACCCGCTTTGGTGATTAGCACTAACTTGCTTGTTCTCCCCTCTGGCCTCCAACAGTGCTCGACGTCAGTCATATCCTCCCAACATACGTGATCTACCGGTCGATTTGATACCCACGATTCTTCTTGTCGGCATTTGAATCTTTGTCTATCCTGTGTCAACATTCTCGCTGTCTAATTGCACCATCTCCCATTACACGTCACAACCATGCCAACGCCATCATCAAATCCGCCGGTCGAGGCCGCTTCGCCGCGGTCTTACAGTTTCTCGACATGTCCTGACGATGTCCAATATCAGCCACGTCCTAACTGGCAGTCACGCGACGGCGATCAAGTCCACGATGCTGATATACCCGACTCCAATCTTTCTGTCGATGTCGGCTCGCCTCTTGCCGTCGACGCGCCGGCTGCGCCCGAAGGCCCAAGTGACGATGCCATCATGTACGATGGGCGTCCATCTGATGAACCGTCCTCAAGGTCTTCCACCATGTCTCCTCGTCCTCAAACTGCTACTACGACGGCCACGACTCCAATGCCTAGCGGCCCAGGGTCTGAAATAAAGGGAAGAGAGGCCGAGATCGGCAGTCAGTTGAGTCGAGAGCCTTCAAACAGCACGCAACGAGCGTCTGAAACTGAATCAATCCCTCGCGAGTCGTCCAGGCGGAGAGGGTCACCAAACGGAGAGCCAGAATGGATTGATTTCGATGCGCAAGAAGATGAGCTCTGGTCTCCGTCCATGGGCTCTGACTTTTCATGTATGAGGGTGAGTTAAAAGTCAACCGCACCGTATATGTAATGATCTGACAATCGAAGACCATCCCTTCGGCTCCTTCTTCTTATCTACGTCCGGGTAGCAAATTTCATGGCACGCAGCAGTCAGAGCGGCAGGTCTACGATGTGCAAGTCGAAATTAAGCATGTTGACATGCGCGAGTCTTTTCTATGTGGCTATCTGCGCATTCAAGGTTGGTGACTAGAGTGCAATCAAGATTGACAATGGGCACTGACTCTATTTTCAAGGTCTAACTGAGGACCATCCCACTCTCACGACATATTTTGAAGGAGAAATCATCGGTTCCAAGTACAGCTTCTACACACAACACGAGAATTGGGGCGCAAATAGCAAGGTTGACTTGAGTCATTGGGCCAAGTTCACAGCTTTTCGCCCTTTCCAAAAACAAGCTCGCAAGGGGCCTGTCACTATTCGAGATGCTGCACAACGAGAAACCATCTTCATGCGCTGGAAGGAACACTTTTTGGTTCCAGACCATCGAGTTCGCACGATAACAGGGGCCAGCTTCGAGGGGTTCTACTACATTTGTTTCAACCAGGTCAAGGGTGAAGTGAGTGGTATTTATTTCCACTCTAAAAGCGAAAAGTTTGTTTCCCACCCCAGTCACATGTCAATTCATGCATACTAATCGTTAACAGGTTCCAGCAACTGGAGCTGAAGCATGTCCCCGACCGGGGATGCTTTGCCGCTACCGAATTTCGTTAAACTTAAGGCTGCCTCAGTACAAAGCATACTACAAGCTTGAAGCGCGGCGCCGCTACAAGTATATCGCCAGCCATCACCTTGGTCTGTTGCAGGACCGGTTTAGGATATCCAGCACTGTTATAACAATACATAGATGGGAATACGGGAAGTGTTAGGGCCCGTTATCATGACATCTTGACGCGCCTACGTGTGTTGCTTTGTGGGTAATCAGGATTTGGGTTTTCTGGGCAGTTTATCACATATGAATGCGGAGCATAGGAAATCTTTGATGGGAGCAAAGCGAAGTCGTTCCTGTAAGCGAGGTTCTATTCTTCGGCCTCGAACTTTTTGAAATATCCACGTCGGAACGGGTTGAGTTCGTCTGCCGATGTCCCATTTAATGTGAGCTTCTGTCGGTTTGTGTAAGCTTCGAGAGCCTCTTGTGAGACCTGCGAGTCGGGGAGCCGACGGTAGGTGATGAGTCTCCTGGACCCTGCGAAATGTCAGTAGGTGCAGGATGAGCAACAAGGCTCCAGTGGCAACTCACACTTGTTGAACGGCTGGGTACAGACAACAACCACTTCCATGTAAGGATGGCTGGGCACGGGAATTTCTTGATCTTCGTCATTGGCTGTTGGCATCCAGAATGACAATCGCCCTTCATCCACCAGAGTCTCAGCTGCAAAAGTCAAGATATCATCGAGCATCACCAGAAAGCTGTAAGGCTTCTTAGGTGGGACATAGGTCGGTTTCCTGCGACATTCAGTGAATGGGCAAATCGAGTGGCTAGGGCATCACGTACATTCCATGTTGCTTCCCCTGCTCTATTAACCAGGGGGTCTTCTCTGGATCCCGGAGACCAAGAACCCTCAAACCTTCTCGCACGCCATAGGGAGGATCACAAACAATTCCGTCCCATGTACGACGATGCCTTCTAATTGGTGTGTTTGTCAAGTCGGCTGAGAATACATCCCCTAAGCAAGACCCAATGCTATACTGGTCAAAGTTGCCTTTCAAACTCTTCTTACCACCCTCGCCGCGGATGCTTCGACCATCGATATCGCTTCCGAATGCAAGAGCACCGAAATAGGCACATGCGATAGGAAAGGAACCAGTTCCAACGAACGGATCATAGAATAGCTTGCCAGGCGCGGCGAGAGCGATGTTGGCAGTGACGAGAGCGAGCTCAGAGTCCATGCTCGTCGTTGAGATATATCCTCGCTTCTTGAGGTCGAACTTGACCAAAATCTCTCGCGATGAATTCCCTACATGTCGTGCAAGATACATCATTGTGGGGTCCGGAATATTTAAGGGGACGCTGTTGTAAGGCCACATCTCGAAGATGGTGAACAAGTTGTCAGGGTTGGTCATTTTCACCGGCCCAGTCCAGCCCAGGAATCGGAAAGAGTTGATAAGTTCGATTCTCTTTTTGGCTGAACGAGTTCCTTGGTAGGGGTCAACATCGAACTTGAATGATTTTCCAAGATAACTATCCCAGACGTGAGATGTCTTTGTCTTGACTGATTCGTGGAGTTCATCCAGGGTGCTTCCCTTGCCCCAGAGCTCATGGATAGATTGAATGAGAATAGATCTCTTGGCCAGGCGCTTAGCCGAATCAACTGAATCAAGTTGCACGATACAAAATGGTGACTATTCACAGTAAGTTTCTGAATTTAATCAATATTATTCATGGGAGAACGGACATCTTGGCTATAGTCGACTATTATCATATCCAGGCCTTCAACCAGAGCCAGAGCCTCGATTTCAGGGACCCGAAAGGTCTCATGCGCCTGAGCAAATTTGATAAGGAAATCCATCTTGATATTCAAGTTCTGGTGAATTTTGTTGTGTAGGAGGAAGTCCTGTTCACTCTAGAATTTGAGTTGAGTTGAAATAGTGGGGGATGGTCACGCTGAATGCCTGACTTCGTTGATCAGGAAATTGCTTTACCGCGGCCCTGCCACGATCAGATATGAATCCTTAGAGCGTTCAGCGTTCTACAGGACAAAATCTCTGGAAAACCCAGTAATTTGCAGGAGTTGAAGATGCGGCTCGACCAAGAGATCCTCTTTAGATTCTCATCTTGTGAGAAAAATTCACCGAGAAAAACCCGGCTAAAACCAACCCGTTCCTATTTGTGTTACCCAACACCTTGCATTTGCGACTTACACACGCGCAAAAACAGAATTTAGCATCGCACACGGTATAATCTCATACTTTTGCCTCAACTTCAACCATGTTTCCAGCTGCTGCGCCATCGATTTATCAATCGCCAAAATGCTTTGTTACATACGGCACCATGAGTCACCTTGATACCAAACAAGCTCCTCGCAAGGGCAAGCCTTGGACCGCAGTTATGTCATTGGATTTCATTCACAAGGTTTGAACAAACATTGATGTTCGCAGTGTATCAAATACTGAACTGAGGCTAGGTTGATCTAATTCTACCTTCAGAGGCCTACGATGCTGCTTGCGAGCAGCTGAGTACCGCTCAAAATTCTCCACGCTACTCGAAGGTAGTAATGTCGCTTGGAGATATTCTACAAGGCGACTTTTTTACTGAGTACATAAAAAAGGGCAAGTAGATCACTCTGTGTTTGAGTGTGTCTGACATTGACCATGTATCCAGGTGATATCATGATGCTCTCGGAAGGAAAGACAACGGTTGGCACGCTATTTACCTTACGCGAAGGTATACAAAGGGACTAAATCCTTGGAGATCATGGACTGACCCTTAGCAGGTGTTTTAACTATGTTCGTCGACAAGGAGACTTATGAACGTGCAGGACTTGTTGGTAAACCGTATGGTGCAAAGGGTGGGAGAGGATCAAAACCACGATGGGGTGAGTGGCCAGATAACAAGTGCCAGAAACAACAACTAACCCTCACAAAGTTATAACGTACAACCTCAGAGATCCATCCATGTTTCGAGGACATAAAGGCTATGACAGGCTGATCTATGCCTGCAAGTCTGTTTTCACACAACCCATGACATGGCTCTTCTGCAATAGCACAACCCAAAGTAAGCACAACCAGGCTTTAAACCCGTAGGTTGGCCTCATGCTAATACTTTCAAGCCCCAAATCCTGATCCCCTGCAAAAGTTCTCTCCCACAGCCTGTACCTCAACATGCAACATATTGCAGGATCTCGCTGTTCTTCAGCCGAGTCTCAACGTCGACCCAGAAGTTCTCTCTGAAAGTGATCGCGAGTCTCTGGAATACTTTGCCACAGAGATTTACGAGTGGCTCTCACTCATTCGCCTGGGTAGCTCGCGTGTAGAGCCTCGTGACAGTATTGACCCCTATCTTTCAAGGTATTCCGTGCCAGGCGATGGTCCCAAGGCATCCAAGGTCTGCAAGTTGAGTTGGGAGGGTTTCATGTCAGCACAGTGGCTTCGTGGCTTGCTCATGGATGTGCTGGTTGCTTGTCCTTCGGGTACATGGTTTTCCCTCGGTGCTACGTGCTTTTCGAGAAGTGTACCTGGCAACAGTGATGACCTTACTATCCTGAGACCACCCAGCGCGGCTGGGAGGTATCTCATGTGGGAGACAAAATCATCGGATTGATCCCCTAATCTTGCTTTGATCGCACGTTTCGTTCATCCCCGACACCGCCCTCACCCAAAACAGCATCCTCAACCAACTTCCGCAGCTCGACTTGGCCTTGAGGGGTGTTGAAATCGTCGCGTTGAGCCAGTTCCTCGATTCTTCTTCGGAACTCTGGGTCGATTTCCTCGGGAATTTCTGTGGTCTCGTCCATCGTGCCAACAGTAACCTTCATTCCCTCTGGAGGGGGAGGGATAACTTCAGGCATGACAGCCGCTGCGGTCGAGGCAGGATCATCGGCCTTCTTAGCTTCCATCTTGGTTAGGTATTCCGCAACAGCAGGAAATTCAGCTTCCGCTTCAATCTTTTCTCTAGCTGTTAATCCCTCTGATCCCTGGTGGTTGATGTTTGCTCCGAGCTCTTCAACGAGGACTTGCGCCGCATCGTGGGTCTCGACAACAAACAAGGCAGTCTCGTTGTCCTCATCTTTCAGGTCAACGTCGACATTGAACTCGCGGATTAGCGCTCGCAAGAGGTCGAGATGATTGTAGCTGGCGGCGGCGTGGACGAGCGAATAACCATGCTCATCTTGCGATGATGCGAGTGCTGGGTTCTCTCGGAGGAGGGGCAGCAACGTGGGGTTGTTATCGGCTGCAAGAAGGAATGGGTTCGGAGTAGCCATGGCTGTAGATTTCTATTCGGTGCTGTTTTGCGACAAGGATAGGGTCGGGCTGGTTCCTTCGATGGTGAGGTAGTACCAAGTTAAGGTAGGTATTGAGCTTGCCGCGTTGTCAGTGTTGAAGCCTCCAGCTCTAAAACTTTGTATTGTAGAAGATTTTGGCGGGGTAGCTTGCATCCTTGTGGAACCCCACAACCCGTCATGACGACTGACAAAATATTCAGACTCCCTCACTCAGGTACCTATCCAGACAATATAAGGTCTTCTATTAGGCAGAAAGCAACTCTGTAAACTGATTTAGCCCCTATAACTCCCATTTAACGCTTTACCTGGACCTGCCCGACGTTCAATGTTGCCGGCGTGACGCATCAGACACTGCGAGGTCATTATTCTAGGGTAAGACCCATCCAGAGTTAGTACTTTGCCCCTCCACATCCAAAGTGCTTGCCTGACCTGATATGAAAAGATCAGATCCATGGGATGACTAAGTAAAGGTCAACCAGCTTCCGAACCTGAACACATAGGCCTGGGGCTTTGATCGAACATTACTTTCTCTTCCGTGTGACCCTTGCTCCCCAATAGCGGCCTGACTCACTAAGAGAGTCTAAGGTCGTTCTTTATTGAGGCGGTGCCGTAAGGCAGTTTTCAACTTATGCCTGGCCCGCATCAGCCTTAGTACAACCGCCACAACCTCATTTGAGCTGCCTCGACAGAAATACCATCAGAGACCCGGGCCATATATAAAGGTCTAGCGAGTGGGAATACTTGTATCTGTTTTCAGTCGATATCCATTCACAGATACACCTTGTGCACAACACTACGCACCTTGTTGTCTAGTCCACTCCGCAGGCACTGTAAGCAACTGGATCCTCCCAGCATCATCACACGGACGACTCTTGTGTGCTTGGATTTGACAAAAGTGAGTTCTTCCAGATCGCAGATGCTAAAGATTCCGAAAAAACAATCCTTTGGGTTTGCAGGAATAAGTTGGGTCAGATCACTCGACAAAAGATTGCCCCTCGAGTGAGGAAAGCGTATCATCTTGCCCGAGGACCATCGCCATCAACCTCATGCTTGCTTACCGTCACTCTCTGCGTTCTCTTCTCACACCCCTCAGCAGAGTCACCACGAATCACCAGAATATTCGAGCTTCTTCAACGGCTCTCGACAGAATGTCTGCCCCTTATACTCCCCAGGACGTTCAAGCCGTAGCGAACGTGGTGCGTGCTTTGGACGGTGCCCGAAAGGACAAGAAACGTGGCGGATTCGCAGTCAAAAAGACAACGTTCGATGTCAAAGGATCAGCGGATGGCATTCAAGTCGACTCGTGGCGCTTGCAGGACTGGGATTACAAGCGACGTGATTTGCCCACATATGCGCGCGGCCTCTTCACTACCAAGACACGAAGAAACGAGCCGGAAATCGCCGTGAGGGGCTACGACAAATTCTTCAATGTTAACGAGGTTCATGAGACCAAGTGGGAAAACATCTTCACACGGACCCAAGGCCCCTACGAGTTGACACTCAAGGAGAACGGCTGTATCATTTTCATTGCCGGATTGGAAGACGACACTTTGATTGTGTGCAGCAAGCACTCAACAGGTGACCGAGATGACATCCAAGTCAGCCATGCTAGCGCTGGAGAGAAGCGCCTAGAAAAACAACTGGCTGCCGTTGGCAAGACAAAGGCAGATCTTGCGCGAGAGCTCCGCAAGAGGAACGTGACTGCCGTAGCTGAGCTTTGTGATGACCAATTCGAGGAGCACATCTTAGCATACGGCCCCGATAAGGCTGGACTGTATCTCCATGGTATTAACCTCAACCTACCCGAGTTCGCTACCTATCCCAGCCGTTTCGTTCAAGAGTTTGCCGATGAGTGGGCTTTTCATAAAACGGGTCTCATCACAATGGACGACATTCATCAAGTCAAGGTTTTCCTCGAAGAAGTAGCTGAAACTGGAGCACACGATGGTCGGGATGTCGAGGGTTTTGTTATCCGTTGCAAGATGTCGCACGACCCTTCTACACATCCCTATCGCGACTGGTTCTTCAAGTACAAGTTTGAGGAACCATACCTGATGTACCGACAGTGGAGAGAATGCACCAAGGCTTTGATTGCTGGAAAACAGCCAAAGTTCAAGAAACACACCAAAATCACCGAGGAGTATCTGCTCTACGCCCGAAGACGACTTGCCGCAGACCCGAAGCTGGGAAAGGAGTACAACAACAACCACGGGATCATCGCTCTCCGCGACGACTTCTTGAAATTCAAGAACATCAACGGTGCAGATGCAGCTAATATGGGAGAGCTGGATCCTCTTGTAATGACAGAGGTAACTCGTGATGTAATTTTGTGCCCTATTGCCACCATTGGCTGTGGCAAGACAACCCTCGCTATGGGACTCTCACACTTATTTGGTTGGGGTCATGTTCAGAACGACAATATCTCTGGCAAGGGCCGGCCTCCACGCTTCACGAAGATGGTATTGGACGAACTCAAAGACCATCCTGCCGTGATTGCAGACCGAAACAACGCACAGAAACACGAACGGAAGCAGATCATCACGGATGTCAAGCTCCAGCATTCTTCTGCCAAGCTTGTCTGCATGAACTTCAAGCATGAGGAAGAGTCAATCGATGAGATTCGGCGAATTACTCAGGAAAGAATTATCGCGCGCGGTGATAACCACCAGACTATCCATGCAGCAAGCGATAAGGAGAAGTTCATTGGTGTGATGGAGGGCTTTATCAACCGATATGAAGCCTGCAATCCGCACTCTCGACCCGACGATGGCTTCGATGCAGTGATCGACCTTGATCCTACAGCTAGCAGCCGACAGAACCTCGAAACTCTTGTGACACAACTCCACAAGTTGTTTCCAAACCTTGTCAAAGAGGTCCCATCTGCTGCAGCATTTGACGCTGCGATGGACTTCGCCCTCGGCTACAAACCAGATTTCAGGCATGATATACCAGATAGGGGCAAAAAAAGCTACCCCCAGCCGCAAAAGCCCAAAGTACAGAAGCCAAGAAAGATGGAATACATGTCTGTTGGCATTTCGACCCAGGAGGTCAACAATGCTCTTGAGCAAGCCTTTAAAGCCACCCCACCTTCGACTTCGCGGCTTTATACACAACTGAAACAAACACGTCGCGTACAACCAAAATTTCATGTTACTTTGCTGCACAAGGCCGGCAGCAAGGAGCACCCCGAACTCTGGCAGAGATACACTGCGCTGCAGAAAGAGGCAGAGGCTGCTGGTAACCCTGAAGGGAAGGTTGGTGAATGCGATGTCATGCTTGAACGAGTAAGTTGGCCTTGAACCCATGAGCTCTACAGTAACTGACTGTAAATAGGTTGTGTTTGATGATAGGATCATGGCTATTGTGGTTCGCCTAGCAGACCAAGATGATCAATGGCAGTGTGTAAATCGCGTTGCTCACATAACGGTCGGAACTCGAGATGATTCCGTAAAGCCCAAAGAAAGCAACGATCTCCTAGCCAGTTGGCTGGAAGTAGGTAGTTCCCCAGAAACCAAGATTGGAGAGGTTGTGTTCGAGGGGAAGCCTACGCTCAAGGGTACAGTGACACCCGTACTTAGCAAGTTTTAGAAAAGACGAGTAGTGAAATGCAAGGGTTGAGTATGCAGTGATAGGTTTTCAAGGAGCATTGGCATGATGTGAGAATATGGAATCTGCGGAGTCCAGTCTCAGGGGTTGAAAATAGATTTTGCGAGACCTAAATAAGATACTTCATTCTTGTCTCCTCATGATCGAATCCAATCTCAAGTACCCTAAGTGGCTTGAAGTATTATGGAAGATGATCTTCAAGGACTGGGTGCATCAGCTGGACTTAAGAGGTAGAAGAGCTGAGGCTGAAGGTCCTTGGCTTTCTAGAACCATTAAAGTCTGTCAGATGGGTGCGAGCATATCTATTAATATGTTAAGGCAGAGAGTCGCTTCTAGCATGAGGTAATTCGATCGTGAGCCCTGAGATCCGAAGGGGTATTGTGAATACAAGACTAAATGGGCAAAACTCAAAAAACAATACAGTACACGTAGTGTGTGCAACTCAATTATTCGTTACTCATCATCAAGGAATCGACTAGCTAGGGCACCGAAAAAAGGCACCTCGAATCTAAGAAGTCTATCAGTAACGAGATCGGTATGGACTGGGAGAATTTCGCGTACCTGTCGAGTATCTCTGCATCTTTGTAAGCTCGTAATGTGAGGACAGCGATTAAGGCAATGTCGCAAAGGAAGAATAGCCAGCTGAGGAATGTTGACCATGAAAATATAAGATGGAAGACCATAATGGCTGTGAATAGCAATGCAGATTGCCAAGCATGAAACCTGATGCGAATGTCAGAAGACGAACATACATGGCAGTTTCAGAGAGGCCTGGAAAATCTAATCATACCTCACATAGTCACTATTCCGCTCCAAGATCAGCAGTATAATCGCACCCAGTGGTGGAAATGCGACATATGCTAGACAGGCTTCGTAATCCAGGCGCATTCCTAAACTTGTGTCGAACTCGCTGACTTCGGCAGCAGGATAGGCGCCAGGCATTGTGCTTGATGCACCAAAAGCGCGGTTATCAGGACTAATGGCCGCCCAGCCAGCTGACTGGCCATCAAAACCGCTCCATCCTCGTTGTGGCTGCGGGTGCTGAAGCGGTGGAGGAGAAGCGACCGGCGAAAACGATCGTCTGGCATCGTAGGATGGTCGAGGCGATGCATAGTCGGGAGAAGTTACACGTGAATGCTCCGGAGGAGATGATTGATAAGGAGCGAAGTCCATGGTTGCCAGAGATGAGAATGGATATGTCGTATTGTATGTGTTGAATGTCGATAGAATGGTGAACAGACTGCGGTCGAGCACCTGTAACTTCCAGGCGCCTTGTTTGCCTTTTAATTCACACTTTTGCGATATCTAATAGGAAAGCGGTGATCTTGACGTGCAGCTGTAAAGTGATTTGCGACTGATTGAGTTGATCGAGAGGCGGGGCGGTGATAGTAGGTCAAGGTTGTTCTTGGTAAGGTAGTAGTTAGCTCTCGCATAGAGTACCTGCATATAGTAGTAGTAGCTTTCAGCCACACATTACAGCCACAAATACTTTTAGGTCCTGATATAGCAGAGTATCATTTGGAACGTTTCTGTCTTTCCTCCAAAGCAACAGAGAATTTCCTGACGTTTGCTTCTGTAATCAATAGACAAAGTGGCACGGAATATGGCTTTGCCGAGAGAACTCCCGATCTAGCCAACTTTGACATTGTAGCGATCCAATATGTTGTTCGTACATCTAAACATACATGGCCTTCACAAGGCGTCTTATTTGTACATCGTATCTCAAAATCCCCCAGTTCTATGTTCATTCGCCGTCTTTTTTGTCGCCCTTGGCCTCGTCTTCTAGCTGGCCTTTTCTGCCCTCCAGAGCCAACCACAAGCTTCGGCTTCCGCCCTCCAGGCTACTGGTGATGCCCAAACCGACGCCTTGGAGCATGGCCACCAGCTGGCCCCTCAAGCCTTCCAGACCACCCTCAATACCGCCGACCCAGTTGATACCGGATTGATCAAAGATCTTGCCTTCAACACGGCCACCGACAAGTAGTAGCTTAGCAAGCCCACTCTGACAAATGGGATCGTGAAAACCGGGGTTCTTCTTCCTCGAAGGAGCCGGGAATTTACCCGGAACAGGCGCCAGGACAGTCAATGCTGCAGCGAGATGGGCTGGAGAAACGGCAGGGAGAACCAAGGCAGCCAAAGGGCCAACCATTACTGGCTCGATTTGAGCGTAGCTCGAGTCCTCAGGTACCTCGGTATTCTTAATGGTTTCATAGGCAGCTTCGGAAAGATCATGAACAACAGGACCCCGCACCGTTCTCGTTGTCTTCTCCGACGCAGCAGCAGCTTCAGGATCGTAGAATTCGACAAGCTTGAGTGCCACGCGCAGCATGTTGGTTCGCACCACCTGTAGTTGGACTAATGGGGTGATATCGACAGGTTCAGTACCAGGAATCGCATTGGGCTTGGGAACTGTGGAAAGAGCCTTCCTCAGCTCTCGCCGCACTGCAGCCCACTCTACGGCCGTCAAATTGCTATGCTGAAAGAATAAGATCAAGGGAGTCGTTCGGAGGAGTGATGTGTAGGTTCGAATCAACTGGCTCTTTCTCGTCTCAACTGGTCGGGCGCTGGGGGGTTTGGTAATGGGAGCGTGGTCGATTGGCTTTCGAACTTCGGTAACCGCAGCCGAATAGTTTGGCGACGTCGAAATACTGCGAAGAGCCGTGGTCCATGGTTTGTGAGAGAGGTGTGATTCTCTGCGCAATTGACGCAGACAGGGCGACGCAGCCCGTGATATTCGTGAAGCCATGTCTTCTAGCTTTAGAGTATGTCAGAAAAAAATAGCAGGTTTTCAAGAGTCAATGCTGTACATACATGAAATTGTGCTGCTGGCTTCGTAGCCAGATCAAAAATTCCACAAGCACTCACAGCCGCTACATGCCAATTGCGAGAGTTTACGATCTGGACTTGGCCCGTGCATCGGATCAACCCACCGCCGATCCCCGGCACTGCAAGGCCACTGGAGCCAATGCCGGGCTGTTGCTGGCAGGCCAGGCTGATTACGCGCGACCTGACTGCCTACCTGACAGCTTGATCTTGGGTGTCTGTCGTTAGAGCATCAATAGCTTTTGACTTTTCCATTCAATTCACAGTTGTCCGCCAACACAACGACTTTACGTTTACCTCCAACACCCCTAATAGGAACTTGTAACTGTATCACCGCATTCAAATCAGATTTAATCCACGTCATTTCCCACCATGTCGACTCTCGAGGAGCTCGATGATCTCGACCGCCGAGACAAGGAGGAGAAGAAGAGAGATGGCGACGACAAGAAAGAAAAGAAGCCTACTGATGGCGACGCCGACATGCAAGATGCAGAGGAGGAGGAGGACGACGATATCCTTGACGAAGAGATCCTGGGATTGAGCACACAAGACATCCAAACACGCAAACGCTTGCTAGAGAACGATTCCCGCATCATGAAGAGCGAGTTCTCGCGGTTATCACACGAGAAGGCTGCCATGGGCGAGAAGATTAAGGAGAACCAGGACAAGATTGCCAACAACAGGTTGGTTTCTGGTAAACCGTGAGCGTGTGGGCGTCATCGCTAACTTGGTTCATAGACAACTCCCTTACCTTGTCGGCAACGTCGTGGAGCTCCTTGATCTGGACCCCACGGCGGAATCATCAGAAGAGGGTGCCAACATTGACCTGGATGCCACTCGAGTTGGAAAATCGGCCGTCATCAAGACGTCTACACGACAAACGATCTTCCTCCCTTTGATTGGTCTGGTCGACGCCGATAACTTAAAGCCTGGTGACCTTATTGGTGTCAACAAGGATTCATACCTTATTCTCGATACACTCCCGGCCGAGTACGACAGCCGAGTCAAGGCTATGGAGGTGGATGAGAAGCCTACAGAACAGTACACTGATGTTGGTGGACTGGACAAGCAGATTGAAGAGTTGGTGGAAGCAATCGTATGGCCCATGAAAGAGGCCGAGCGTTTCAAGAAGATTGGCATCAAAGCCCCCAAAGGTAACACTGGAGGAAAAGTCGTGAAAGGCAATCATATATACTAACTCTGCTTAGGTGCACTGATGTATGGTCCCCCAGGTACAGGCAAGACTTTACTAGCACGAGCCTGTGCAGCCCAGACAGATGCTACGTTCTTGAAGCTGGCAGGTCCTCAATTGGTTCAGATGTTTATTGGTGATGGTGCCAAGCTTGTACGTGACTGCTTTGCGCTGGCTAAGGAGAAGGCTCCTGCGATCATCTTCATCGATGAATTGGATGCAGTTGGTACCAAGCGTTTCGACAGCGAGAAAAGTGGCGATCGTGAGGTACAGCGAACCATGTTGGAACTACTGAACCAGCTCGACGGTTTCGCCTCTGACGACCGTATCAAGGTGTTGGCTGCAACAAACCGAGTCGATGTTCTTGATCCTGCGCTTCTTCGATCCGGCCGACTCGATCGCAAGATTGAATTCCCCCTGCCCAATGAGGAGGCCCGCGCTCAGATTTTAAAGATCCATTCTCGCAAGATGAAGGTCGACCCTGGTGTCAATTGGGGCGAGTTGGCCCGAAGCACGGATGAGTTTGGAGGTGCTATGTTGAAGGCTGTTTGTGTGGAGGCTGGTATGATTGCTTTGCGATCAGGCAAGAACAAGATTGGCCACGAACATTATGTTGATGCCATTGCTGAGGTGCAGGCCAAGAAGAAGGACGTAAGTGACGAAAACTTGGTGTCGTGCCATGGGATTTGCTTGCTAACTAAGCTGAACAGACTGTCAACTTCTACGCTTAATTGTGATGATGGTAGATACTGCGGACTGGGTTACATGTCACACGAGCCGGGGCATTGGGGATTAGACGCGGTAAAGGCGAACATAGATCAATGTAACACTATCTCGGCGTGTCCCCGTCCTTCATGGGGCATTGACTTTTGAATGGTGAATTAACTCAACTCGAGAGTCTAAAAATCGACTTTGACTGTCGATGTAGATGCTTCCTATTACCTGGGATGTGTTGGTTATTGCCTCGAACCAGTTTGTTATATTAATATTCTTGGGATTGTATAAGAACAGCAGTAGGGACAGGGCTTCAACACTCCCAGACACGATACTTCAAGTATTCCAAGGTAGTCATGTAAACAATACCTAGCCAAGTCGTAGAAGTCTCCAGACAAAGATCATTATGTCAGCATCAACTTGGGAATTAGTAGACCTGCTGGAAAGAAATATGTCCTTCTCAGGTCTATCTGTATGACCTAACAGTGTTTGTTTGATATGTATGGATTTGGCCAGAAAGCAACCTTACCGGAGCATTTGTTCCATTCGAGAATCGAGATCGACCTCTAGGAGAGCGGTTCGATTAAACATGGACGAGAAACAAGCTTGTGCTTCGCTGGAAGGACATTTTCAGCCCAGCTAGAGCAGTTTTTGGCAGCGGAATGTACCGATATGCAGCTCGTAGGCTTAGTCACCAGGCGTCTTACCGGTTCGAGCCTGAAGCTTGTGCGGGGCGGGTCATGCAAAGTACGTCATGGTGGCGCCTGGGGAGGGCACTCATCCAAGGCTTGTTTTTGCAAAATCACATCGCGATGATGAACGATAGGCAATGATGATGCTGATGGTGACGCTGCTGCCCCTTTGTTGACGAGTGATGAAGTACTATGATACAGACTCTTGTGGAACTGTGTTGGTGCACCTGCCTCTCATAATCCAGGCTTTGATTAGCTGTTGCGTAAGTATTCTGTACCTCTCAGTTACTCAGTGTAAACTGCCAAATTCCAGCCACCCATGACAACGGCACAGTGACGTGATAGATTTCCCTTCCCGTGGCTTGCTCTGCTCCTACAATCTGTCTTTTCTTTTCCCACCTTCATCTCGCTTCAGTTGCGTAACTCTTCTCATTCCTCTTCCAACTCTTTATCCTCTAATTCCCCCCAGGTGATTTCTTTTATCACACTCTTCTGCGACCTAGCTCCTTCCATTTCTTCGCGACTTAGCATTGTTTATACAAGGAAGAAGATTTGCACCAACATTTCCATCTCTCTGAAGCAGAAGCAGAAGTCGAAATGAGATTCTTAAACGCCGTCTTGGCCGCGGTGGCCATCAATGGTGTCACCGCCAGCACATGGTTCCCTGGCTCAAAGCCTGGTAAGCTTGCTACCGCCTTTTCTCCTGGCCTGCGTCATAGTCTAACGAGAAACAGTTTACAACAAATGGCACGAGACCGAGCTGGAGCGTTGGCTCGCAGATCACGATGTCCCCTACCCAACACCTGCCGATCGCAAGGATCTCGAGTCTTTAATTGAGAAGAACTGGGAGAACTACGTTGTTTCTCCTTACAACAGCTGGGACACCAACCAGCTTAGCTCTTACCTGCAATCAAAGGGTAAGGAGGGCAAGAACGAGGCCGCTGCCTCAAAGGATAGCCTTTTGTCCCAAGTAAAGGCCAACTGGTATGAGACTGAGGGCAACGCCCAATCTGCCTGGCTCAACGTCAAGGATTGGATTCTCGACACTTGGACTGAGAGCCAGTTAAAGGCAT